CCTCCTAAGTCCTAATAACGTCAGCACAATATTGTCAGAAAATAGAGTAACAGATTAAAAGAAGACACTAGCGTTTTCGGCCTAGTTTTTAGGCCTTTTCGTCCATTCCGTAAAGAATCAAAAATTTACCCTTAAACAGTTTGAAAATTCTGATTGACGTAATTTTGTTCTTCAGAATGAAAATTAGTTTTTGGAACTACCAAATGCAGAGAACTTCTCCGTTGTTGTACTGATCCACTGCATTCTTTCACTTGGTTTGAATGTATTGCTGTCATTAAATTTAAAAGTTTTTTGCAAATTTACACCTTTTCTGTACTACATGTTTACTCTAAATGTACACTTTCTTAGAAACTTTAGAACTTCACTTAAGCTTACTTTATTGAAACTTATCGAAAAACGTCGAAGGGCTCAATTGCGTCATCAAACGGAGCGACTGCAAACGTCGTTTCACTACAATTGACGATAAGCGAAAAAATTCACGACCAAGCACCCAAAAAGCACGTAAAAGAGTTTACCCAAAATCGTCCTGAAACGTTCATTTACCTGAAACCTTCAAGAACATCTAAATTTCAGGGCTATTTTGACATTAGAAAGTTGATCTTTACCTGACTAGTACTGTAATATTTTTGCCTGACTCCCATTACAGTCCTAGTACATGCAAAATAACAATTAGGTAGATCGTTCATTGAATAAGTTATTCAATCAACGGTTGGATAATTATAATGAGAGTATGTGGATATTTTTAAATATTAATATACCTACACAAAGGATAATGGTTTTTTAATTACTAACAATGAATGGAATATGTGTGGAAGTAATTATTCCTTTAGTTTTGCGCCAGTCATTAAAAGGTTTGTACGCCTTTTTGTACCTCTATCTTGACTTTATGGGGAGCGAATATTGCACTACGGCGGCCGCAGCTTCGGCTACATTATAACACGTCTCGCGTAGGTACCCTTCTTCACTGATACCTGCTTTTGTACCTAGTTATAAAGACTGTATAGTTGAAAAGTACAAAGCATAAACTGCATTAAAAATGACACTGATTGTTTTAAATATTTTGAAATCTCTATGGAAACAATTAAATAAAGTGATTTTAGCATGCGTGATTAGGTATCAAAATTTCACACATATGAATAATTTAATTTGGAAAATATATCTACATGTTGCGTTTTTAGGTAAAATTTTATACATAATACGTCATGAAAGCGAGTCCACGTGACTTGGAGGCATTAAAGAGATACTCGGACGCTGCGCGTCCTCGTACTTTTCAATAAGCCTCCGCGTCATGTAAACGACCACTTTCATGACTTATTATGTAAATAACTATTTCATGCCTACTTTCTGTCTTTTAGTTTCCATGACAAAGGCAGATCAGGCTACGTTTCCTGACGCATGTCACTTTACTGGCCGCACCTGTCACTTTACCGGCCGCATCTATGACATTGCTAAACGTCTATAATGACTCCTGTCATCAATGACAGATTGACAGTAATCAAAAGTTCTATATGAAAATTGAAATTTTATATTAAAATACGATTTCAGGTAAAATTTAATACAAAACTCGTCAGTAAAATGACATTACTTGACTCGGAAATTAAAGTACTCGGCCCCTAGACCTCTCAATCAAAAGTTATAGACTAGAAACCAATTTCGACAAAAAATTCAAAGGGCTATAACTTTTGATCTAGTAGTCCAATCTTGAAACTTTTTGAAATTATGGATTCTACAGGCCAAATTCTATCAGAAAAACTTTTTTCCTGGTCGATCTAAGACAATTTTTTTTCAGGACTCAAAAAAAGGCAGTGTATACACTTCCTTTTTTACCAAAAATCGACTGCACCAAAATTTCTCGGGAAAACACTTTTTCGTACTAATTTTGGTGCGTAGAATCCAAAACGAGTCGTACTTTTTCGATTAGACCTCTCAATCAAAAGTTGTAGACTAGAAACCAATTTCGACCAAAAATTCAAAGGGCTATAACTTTTGATCTAGTGCTCCAATCTTGGAACTGTTTGAAATTATGGATTCTACAGGACAAATTCTATCAGAAAAACTTTTTTCCCGGTCGATCTGAGACAATTTTTTTTCAGGCCTCAAAAAAAAGGCAGTGTATACACTTTTTTTACCAAAAACGACTGCACCAAAATTTCTCGGGAAAACACTTTTTCGTACTAATTTTGGTGCGTAGAATCCAAAACGAGTCGTACTTTTTCGATTAGACCTCTCAATCAAAAGTTATAGACTAGAAACCAATTTCGACCAAAAATTCAAAGGGCTATAACTTTTGATCTACTGCTCCAATCTTGGAACTGTTTGAAATTATGGATTCTACAGGTCAAATTCTATCAGAAAAACTTTTTTCCCGGTCGATCTGAGACAATTTTTTTTCAGGACTCAAAAAAAAGGCAGTGTATACACTTCCTTTTTTACCAAAATCGACTGCACCAAAATTTCTCGGGAAAACACTTTTTCGTACTAATTTTGGTGCGTAGAATCCAAAACGAGTCGTACTTTTTCGATTAGACCTCTCAATCAAAAGTTATAGACTAGAAACCAATTTCGACCAAAAATTCAAAGGCTATAACTTTTGATCTAGTAGTCCAATCTTGGAACTGTTTGAAATTATGGATTCTACAGGCCAAATTCTATCAGAAAAACTTTTTTCCCGGTCGATCTGAGACAATTTTTTTTCAGGCCTCAAAAAAAAGGCAGTGTATACACTTCCTTTTTTACCAAAACGACTGCACCAAAATTTCTCGGGAAAACACTTTTTCGTACTAATTTTGGTGCGTAGAATCCAAAACGAGTCGTACTTTTTCGATTAGACCTCTCAATCAAAAGTTATAGCCTAGAAACCAATTTCGACCAAAAATTCAAAAGGCTATAACTTTTGATCTAGTAGTCCAATCTTGGAACTGTTTGAAATTATGGATTCTACAGGTCAAATTCTATCAGAAAAACTTTTTTCCCGGTCGATCTGAGACAATTTTTTTTCAAGCCTCAAAAAAAAGGCAGTGTATACACTTCCTTTTTTACCAAAACGACTGCACCAAAATTTCTCGGGAAAACACTTTTTCGTACTAATTTTGGTGCGTAGAATCCAAAACGAGTCGTACTTTTTCGATTAGACCTCTCAATCAAAAGTTATAGCCTAGAAACCAATTTCGACCAAAAATTCAAAAGGCTATAACTTTTGATCTAGTAGTCCAATCTTGGAACTGTTTGAAATTATGGATTCTACAGGTCAAATTCTATCAGAAAAACTTTTTTCCCGGTCGATCTGAGACAATTTTTTTTCAGGCCTCAAAAAAAAGGCAGTGTATACACTTCCTTTTTTACCAAAACGACTGCACCAAAATTTCTCGGGAAAACACTTTTTCGTACTAATTTTGGTGCGTAGAATCCAAAACGAGTCGTACTTTTTCGATTAGACCTCTCAATCAAAAGTTATAGACCTAGAAACCAATTTCGACCAAAAATTCAAAGGGCTATAACTTTTGATCTAGTAGTCCAATCTTGGAACTGTTTGAAATTATGGATTCTACAGGTCAAATTCTATCAGAAAAACTTTTTTCCCGGTCGATCTGAGACAATTTTTTTTCAGGCCTCAAAAAAAAGGCAGTGTATACACTTCCTTTTTTACCAAAAACGACTGCACCAAAATTTCTCGGGAAAACACTTTTTCGTACTAATTTTGGTGCGTAGAATCCAAAACGAGTCGTACTTTTTCGATTAGACCTCTCAATCAAAAGTTGTAGACTAGAAACCAATTTCGACCAAAAATTCAAAGGGCTATAACAGTGTGATCTATTGGCCGAGGGTCCTAGTCAGAGGGCCAAGACGGGATGTGTATCCTAAATAATACACGTGCGCGCGGCGTAATCCTTTCCCAAATATGTATGAGCTCCATCTTAACCCTTCAGGAAGCCATCTCCAACGACGCTTTCAACCCCAATCGCCAACCGGAGTGTTCGGAGATTCAGGAGAGCTTAGTTCCAGCTCGGAGCTAACGCCCCCCGGTGAGTTACTTAATTAATTGGCGAGGATCGCTGTTTAAGCAGTCGCGATATTTGTTTACACGACCCTTGAGCCCGGGAGACGACCAGTCAGACTGAATGCTGCCATGCCAACCCCTTATGCGTAGATTACAGAAGCCAATTAGGATGATCGAAGAGGTGCGTCGGGATAAATAAGGAGGGGGACTGCCTGTTTGGAGCGATTGGGCACCAACTTAGGAGGCTCGTAGTGGAATTAGGATCCCGGTATGATCAATATACCAATAATGAGGAGAAGGTCGAAGCATACCTTCTCAGGGATCACAGAAAGCAGAGATTCTGGGGAGGATACGAATGGCAGCGGCAAATACATACAACAGCCAGGGAACAGGGGTGCTGGGGGAATACGAGGAAACTAGAGGAGCCGATGTCCCTAACGAATATAGTCTGAGCGTAGTATTCGGAAAGAGCGGAAGTAACCAGGATAGCAGCAAGGAGGCAGAAGGAGGTAACAGCATGAGGATAGCCTCGTGGAACGTACAAGGGGCAAACGACCCAAAGAAAAGGAGCTAATTGACGACAAATTAAAAAAAAACAGGGAATAGATGTGGGCAGCCTACAGGAAACCAAACTAACACATGGAATGGAGAGGGGAAACTCTGAATCACAGAAAATAAACGTCACGAACGCATTAGGAGTATGGGCCAGAACAGTAGGACGGGGCCACAAAATGGTAAAGAGGAAGTATAGGGCAGGAGCAAAGCGGGTAGGTGGGATGTGAAACCTCTGAAAGGGGTGAAGAAATGGGAAGAGTATAGAAAGGAGCAGGACGAGATCATGAACAACAAGGGGGAAGGGGGAACGACAACCACAGCAGAGCTTTATATCTTAGAATCGAATTTCTTTGGAAGATCCTTAGACCGTCATAATAACTTTCGCAGGATGAAGTAGCAGGGCTCGCCGGTATTTTTCTAGGTGGGGCTTAAGTAGTTTTTGATAAAGACTTCGCCTGTCATTTTTGTAAAGGAATCATCAACTGTAATTTCCAGTAGGGGTAAGGCTCGTTCTAGGTGGGGCTGCACCCCCTGGCTACGGGCCTGTCGACTCTTCTTCCATACTTCCCCCGCCCTCCCGCCAGACCTCCCGATACTATTGTCCTTTACCAAAAAAAAAATATCACGCCATTCTCAAAAGCTTATAGCCTTTATGGGAAAATTCAAAGGGCGCTTCTACAAAGATTCATTTAAATACAGAAGGCTACTTCTCCGTCACGCTGATGCACTAGTGATACTTTGCACACAATGCTACTCCAAAAATACTCGCGGGGGCTTCTTCAGAATGTCAGTGAAGCAACGGCTAATTTATGGACGTTCTTCGAAGAAAAATGCTAATGAAGTGCCTGACCTTGGCGTTAGTGACGAGCAATGACCATCTATACGTTGTACGTGATTGCCCAGTTTTTACAGACCGGTTCGGGTTTCTTAATTTGCAACAATTAAGAAGTTCAATCAACTCTAAACGGCCAGCAACTGAAAACAGAGAGAGGGAACTTTCGAATAACAATCCCGGAGTACAGGCTTTGAGTGCATAGAATAATATGTTTCTTCTGCAAAAGGTGAAGAAAAATTGTGCAAGATGAATTACATCACGGTGGCACTTTGTATTCTGCTTGCGATCGAAGGCGAAGTGCGATCGGACGGTGAGTCCACAAAGAGCATGCGAAGTAAATGCAAGTGGAGCAATTTTTCAGGGGCTTACAGCTACATTGTGGTGGGGTCCGGTTCTGGAGGCGCGGTCGTTGCCAATCGCCTCTCCGAAGATCCTAACGTTAAGGTTCTCCTATTGGAATCGGGCGGTCCGCCAATGGCCCGAACGGAAAAGCCGGTAACGGCGTCCGTCGAGCAGTTTACACGGCAAAACTGGAATTACCTCATGGAAAAACAGGACAATTTCGGTTTAGGTGGGTACCAAACCGGAATTAGCTAAACCGTGAAACAAAATTCCGGTTTCGGTTCGATCTAACGAAGCAAATCTGTAACCTGGTGGTCGCGTTTTAGGTTTGGTGGATGGAATCATGGGATACCCGCGAGGAAGGGTTCTGGGAGGAACGACTGTTATTAACTACATGATCCACATCCGCGGAAACAAGGCGGACTACAACCGGTGGGCGAATTTGGGCAACCCGGGCTGGTCGTACGACGAGGTGCTCCCGTATTTTCGCAAATCGGAGGACTCCACGGTGAAGATTTCCGACGAAAAGTACCGTGGGCACGGTGGTTTACTGTCAGTGTCCGACGTGCCTTACAGAACCGAATCGGTACACGCCTTCGTGAAGGCTTGCCAGGAGGCCGGCTACCCTTACGTGGATTACAATGGGAGAAATCAACTTGGAGTGTCGTACGTACAGGGCGCGTTACGTGGAGGTCGACGGTGCAGTGCGGAAAAAGCGTTCATTCGCCCCGCGCGAGCCAGGCCGAACTTGCGCATTCGACTCAACAGTCACGTAACCAAAGTACTCATCGAGCCCGGCACGAAACGAGCATTCGGAGTCGAGTACCTCCACTCGAACCAAAGGTACGTCGTGAACGCCACCATTGAGGTAATACTCAGCGCTGGTGCCTTCCACTCCCCTCAAATACTGATGCTGTCCGGTATCGGCCCCCGGGACCATTTACTCGAATTGGGAATACCGCTCGTGCAAGACCTTCCCGTTGGAAAAAATCTGTACGACCACCTCACCTTCCTGGGACTGATGTTCACAGTAAACAAGCCGATTGTTGCACCGTTCTGGGACACGTTCTCGATCAGGAGCCTCTTAGAGTTCCTACTCTTCGGGAGGGGTCCGATGACCTCACTTGGAGGAGTTGAAGCTTTGGCATACTTCAAAACCAACGTCACCTCCTACCCCGAGGATTACCCAGACATGGAACTCATCTTCATCGGCGGTGGTCTGCACACGGACTCCGGCACGATTTACCGAAGAATGTTTAGAGTGTCCGACGCATGGTACTACCCCCTTTGGCAACCTTTGGAAGCTAAGTACGCGTACTCCATCCTTCCAATGCACCTGCACCCGAAATCCCACGGACACATGAAGCTGAGGTCGACGAAGCCACTCGATCCGCCTCGATTTTACGGCAACTACCTCACCGACCCCAACAACGAAGACGTCAAGGAATTCATCGCGGCGGTACGCGAAAGCCAAAGGATCATGCGGTCCCCCGCCTTGCAACGATACGGAGCGGAGCAGGTCAAAACCGTCGTGCCCGGGTGCGAAATGCCCCAGTACGACAGCGACGCCTACTGGGAGTGCGCACTTCGACACCTAACGACGACGTTGCACCATCAGATAATGACATGCAAAATGGGACCGTCGTCGGACCCTGAGGCGGTGGTCGACCCCAGACTGCGAGTGTACGGTGTGAAGAGGTTAAGAGTGATCGACACCAGCGTCATACCTACCACGATATCGGCGCACGTGAGCGCGGTTGGGTACGTGGTGGGGGAGAAGGGGTCCGATTTAATAAAGGAAGATTATCAGAGGTTGCTGCGCGAGAATATGGACGGAACAATGTAGTGACATTTTTCATTATTAGCACATTTTTTGAAAATTAAAAAAAATGTGCTATTGTTTGCCTTTTATCCGTTCGTCCGTCCGTCCGTCCGGACTCACTTCTGCTGTGTTCAACTACTTTAGGGATTTAGGGGTCAGGGGTTTAGAGTCCTGGAATTTGCGGTAGGTAGTCGATGCCGATGTTCTAGACCGTAATCAAATTGCACTCACCCGATCACCGCTCTCTTTTCGTTAGGAACCCGTCGGTAAACCACACGAGACCCTCCGCTTTGAGGAACGGGCAATATAACATATGAGTTCATCCACTGCTTCCTGTCCCGGAGAGTGCTGAGTTCATATGAACCCGGAAGAACATGCCATAATTTAAAAAAAAGAAACATTTAATTCTGGAATAGGGTACTTAATTAGCACCTAATTAGCACCTAATTATTAGTTGGTTTACTTTTCATTTTCTTGGGTTTTTAAGGTAGCGCTCTGATGACTTCATATGAACTTAACAGAACATGTTACAATTTTAACAAAAAGGAGCATTTAATTCGGGAATAGGGCTCTTAATTAGCACCTAATTAGCACCTAATTATTAGTTAGTTCACTTTTCATTTTCTTGAGGTTCATATGAACCCGGCAGAACATGTCATAATTTAAAAAAAGGAACATTTAATCCGGGAATAGGGCACTTAATTAGCACCTAATTATAGTTAGTTCAGTTTTAATTTTCATTGCTTTTTAAGGTAGTGCTCTGCTGACTTCATATGAACCTGGCAGAACATGTTATAATTTTCCTCAGGATTTCCTCCCTATGGTTGCCCTCTGAGACTTCATAAGAATTGCCTCAAAGAGGCTTGGGAAACCCTGAGCAGCCCGCCTCCGGTATTCCTCATCACATTCCTGTGATCCTAAAAACTAATGTTTGAAGTAAAATATATTACCAGAGGAGCAATTCCGGTAGGAACTAACCTGCCAACTTCCGTGAGCTGGAATCCGATAGTATCGTAGTGTGAAATGGTGACTTCTGGAGTGCTTTGTAGATTGTCTGCTCTCCTGCTACCTTGATCTACACCCAGGTAGGGTTTCATTAACTGGCGATGGCCCAGCATGTAACTAGAGCATTTGCTTTATTCCAGCCCTTCCCTATTGCAACCCACGATAGTATCGTAGTGTGAAATGGTGACTTCTGGAGTGCTTTGTATTTTATCTGCTCTCCTACTACTTTAATTTAAACGGAGGTAAGGTTTGATTAACTGGCGATGGCCCAGCATGTAACGAGAGCATTTGCTTTATTTCAGGCCTTCCTTATTGCAACCCACGATAGTTTCGTAGTGTGAAATGATGACTTCTGGTGGGCTTTGTAGATTGTCTGCTTTCCTGCTATCTTGATCTACACCTAGGTAGGGTTTGATTAACTGGCGATGACCCAGCATGTAACTAGAGCATATGCTTTATTTCAGGCCTTCCTTATTGCAACCCACGATAGTATCCTAGTGTGAAATGATGACTTCTGGAGTGCTTTGTATTTTATCTGCTCTCCTACTACTTTAATTTACACGGAGGTAGGGTTTGATTAACTGGCGATGACCCAGCATGTAACTAGAGCATTTGCTTTATTTCAGACCTTCCCTATTGCAACACACGATAGTATCGTAGTGTGAAATGGTGACTTTTGGAGTGCTTTGTATTTTATCTGCTCTCCTACTACTTTAAGTTACACGGAGGTAGGGTTTGATTAACTGGCGATGATCCATCATGTAACTAGAGCATTTGCTTTATTTCAGGCCTTCCTTATTGCAACCCACGATAGTATCGTAATGCGAAATGGTAACTTCTGGAGTGCTTTGTTGATTGTCGGCTCTCCTGCTACTTTAATTTACACAGAGGTAGGCTTTGATTAACTGGCGATGGCCCAGCATGTAACGAGAGCATTTGCTTTATTTCAGGCCTTCCTTATTGCAACCCACGATAGTTTCGTAGTGTGAAATGATGACTTCTGGTGGGCTTTGTAGATTGTCTGCTTTCCTGCTATCTTGATCTACACCTAGGTAGGGTTTGATTAACTGCCGATGACCCAGCATGTAACTAGAGCATTTTCTTTATTTCAGGCCTTCCTTATTGCAACCCATGATAGTATCGTAATGCGAAATGGTGACTTCTGGAGTGCTTTGTAGATTGTCTGCTCTCCTGCTACTTTAAATTACCCAGAGGTAGGGTTTGATTAACTGGCGATTGCCCAGCATGTGACTAGAGCATTTACTTTATTTCAGGCCTTCCTTATTGCAACCCACGATAGTATTGTAGTTTGAAATGATGACTTCTGGCGTTCTACGCAGATTTTCTATTTTCCTGCTACGTTAATCTACACATAAGTAGGGTTTGATTAACTGGCGATGACCCAGCGTGTAACTAGAGCATATTTTGCTTTATTTCAGGCCTTCCTTATTGCAACCCACGATAGTATCTTAGTGTAAAATAATGACTTCTGGTGGGCTTTGTAGATTGTCTGCTCTCCTGCTACTTTGATCTACACCGAGGTAAGGTTTGATTAACTGCCGATGACCCAGCATGTAACTAGAGCATTTGCTTTCTTTCAGGCCTTTCTTATTGCAACCCACGATAGCATCGTACTGTGAAATGTAGATTGTCTGCGCTCCTGCTACCTTGATCTACACCTGGGTCAAGTTTGATTAACTGGCGATGGCCCAGCATGTAACTAGAGCGTTTGCTATATTTCAGGCCTTCCTTATTGCTACCCACGATAGTATCTTAGTGTAAAATAATGACTTCTGGTGGGCTTTGTAGATTGTCTGCTCTCCTGCTACCTTGATCTACACCGAGGTAAGGTTTGATTAACTGCCGATGGCCCAGCATGTAACTAGAGCATTTTTTTATTTCAGGCCTTCCTTATTGCAACCCACGATAGAATCGTAGTGTGAAATGATGACTTCTGGAGTGCTTTGTATTTTGTCTGCTCTCCTACTACTTTAATTTACACGGAGGTAAGGTTTGATTAACTGGCGATGACCCAGCATGTAACTAAAGCATTTGATTTATTTCAGGCCTTCCTTATTGCTACCCACGATAGTATCGTAATGCGAAATGGTGACTTCTGGAGTGCTTTGTAGATTGTCTGCTCTCCTGCTACTTTAATCTACCCAAGGTAGAGTTTGATTAACTGACGGTGACCCAGCATGTAATTAAAGCAATTTTTTGCAGAGAGGCTATAATTTCTTGCATTCCTGCGATCCTGACGAAATAATTGTTTAAAGAAAAAGTGGAGGATTTATATCAGGCAAACATAATGTACTATGTTACTCCTTTACGTTTCTGTGAACCTCTCATTGTAGTCGTTGGAAAACAATTGTGTATCAGGAGACCTTTTTCTTCTTGACCTTTTGTTACCAATAGAACTACTTTCCCATAATTCTACTATCAGGAGAGCATATACGGTGCGAACTAAGGACTATAAACACACACTCAACCCACTCCTTATCATTTACTAGTTAAATTTCAAGGCCCATATTTACAAAATCCACAATACCTCTCACCCTCTTCCGATACAAGTCTCGATCCTCACTACCGCGCGCTTCCCTCAGCCTGAAGATGTCGCTTTCGCGTTTGGAGGTCTGAAAACTGGGCACCTCTCCGCCTTGAAGAAGCGTTAGAGACAGCGTAAGCATCGCCATATGCAATCCGTACACGGCAAACATTCTCATATGTTCTCCTAATACACTGAACGGGAAGACCTCCTCGGTCTTCAACCCGAATCGAGCCAGAATTTGTGAGAAACTCTCGTAGTACTCGCCTAGGAGCGCGTCGTAGTGCGTGTACGCCGGAAGGTTTGGTCGGTACAGGCAAACATGAAGTAGGAGAGATCCAGTGCCGGCGATCCGCAACGCGCCAGCTGCCAGTCGAGGATGCACACGCTGGTGGGCGACGAATCCTGAAATGGAAATTCGTTATTGTGCTGTGGTGGCCAACCGCGCCTGATAGTCGATGAGGTAGTTGTTGATCCAGCTTTCGCAGTGGGCCAACACGGAGTGGTCTCCTGCGCCTGCCTCTGCCGCCTGGATGGTCTCCAGTACGCGTCCAAAGTATTCCTCCAAGGCCTTGTAGGCGATCCGGTCCTCTTCCTTGTCCAAGCAGGAGAGCGCCAAATTCATCTGCGCTTTAAGACCCACCTTGCGATCCTCGGTTAACCGGAGCACCCTGTGGATGTGGTCGGGCGTGTTTTCCTCCAGCTTGTGGTATACGGCCGGTTTCAAGCGGCGAAGAGCGAAGGATAACGCGTGCAATTTCCCGTAGCTTCTGGCGACGAGGAGGGAGTGTTCGCGATCTAAGCTCCCCAGAAGATTCCACTGCTTGTAGCCGAACGCAGCCATGTCCTCCAAGAGAAGAGCTTCATTCAGCTCCGCCAAGCTCGTCTTGTACACTTGGGGAACCACGGCGAATGAGTCTTTCACTTTGAATTCCTGGCGCAGCTTCTCCAGCTGTGGAAAGACGGTCGTGTAGAAATACGTCTCGCGCTCGTAGAGGGATCCCAAGGGAAACACCAGGCGGATCTTCTCGTTGCTTGGGGCAGTCTTCTTGATAAGGGTTAATGACACGTGCTCGTGCCGCGCCTTTTTCCCGTCGACAGTGAGGCGCCGGAGGTTTGACGTAAAGTTCTCGCCTGGGCGCGTCGCCGGTTACGACTCGACCGTATAGTCCGTTACGCCAGACTCCTCGAGGAAGTCTTCGAGGAAGGCGTCCACGCTCGACACGCAAGTCGCGTCCTCCATGTTTCCTGAAACGGTACGTTTTGTTCAATTAATATCTTGACAAGAAAACATCAGTGATAGGAGAGCTGTCAGACCAAGACACAACGGAAACATGCACAGTTTTAGAAATACATGCAGCTAACCTTATCGCGGACCTGATAGCCTTATCAAAGCTGGATTTGTTAGCTACTTGCGTAAATAGAAAAGATAAGGGGTATCCTGAGAGCGAGATATTGGAGAACATCCGTGATTGATTGAATGAGTTCACTGATTGATGTGATTGGTTCTTCGAACTCTTTTTCTGATCAGGATCAGGGTTTTCGCACGATTTTCGGGTTCCTTCCGTTATTCAAGTTCCCCCCAAGGCCAAGCTAAACCACACCTCATAGCCTTCAGAAAAAATGAAGCATTTTCTTAACAGGAATGAAGGGGCACCTCTTCACACGTTATATTCTCCTGATACAAAAGGTTAAACGAATATAGAGTTTGAAACGGTTTCCTTGATAATAGAAAAAAAAACCTGCTCATAGATTATGTTCTTCTGGCGGCCAGAAAAATATTTTCCCAACATTAAATTTGAACGCCGAAACACCTCTCGCGTGATGTGTTCTCTTGGTATCAAACTGCATTATATTCTCCTGATACAAACGGAATGGACCATTTCCCTTCAGTTTAGAAAGATGCCCTCTCTTAGAATACGCTCTTCGGGTAGTCAGAGAAAGCTTACAACATTTTCCTAACGTATACTTACCGAGTTAGGAGCGGAAATGGATCAGGAGCAAAACACTTCCTCGAATTTCCTCTTAATCCAAAACTTTAAAGCGGAAATGAAGTGGAACGTTTTTGAACCTCCTAGAATATGTTCTCCTGGTCGCCAAAGAAAATTTTTAAACATTTTTTAACGGATTCGCAATGTGATTTAGGAGCTAAAACACATTTTTGCGCATTATATTCGCCTGATACAAACGTTCAAGGGAAAGTGAAATGTTTGAACATTTCTCTTGATCTTAGAAAAAAAAGCTCCTCATATATTCTGTTCACATGATAACCAGAAAAAGCTTACAATATTCGTTACATTCCTCGCATTCGTCTCATTCCTCGCATTCGTCGTCTTCCTCACATTACTCGACATTCCTCAAATTCCCAGACAGCGTCTACTAAGTGCAGGAAATATTTATATTACCTACAATGGCTTTAGGAAATACAATATAATTAGAGTGCTAGTTAGGTTAGGTCAGAAATCTTGTATCAGGAGAATATAATATGCGAGGAGGTGATTGTGCTAAAGTATGGGTTAGGTTAGAGTGCTAGTTAGGTTAGGGATTCCTTGTCGGGTTAGATGGCCAAATTTTCCTATGGGCAGACCCTCACCTAACCTTCAATCACCTTCTCGAACATTATATTCCCCTGATACAAGATTTGTCAGAATTTTAGACGTCTAAAGTAATCTAACCTAACCTCACTTATACTTTAGCATAACCTTCAATTACCTCCTCGCCCATTATATTCTCCTGATACAAGATTTCTCGCTTAACCTAACTAGCACTCTAACCTAACCTCACTCATACTTTAATACCTAAACTTCAATCACCTCCTTGCACATTATATTCTCCTGATACAAGATTTGTGAAATTTTCAGGCGAAGCAAGGCGTTGAAATTGAATTTTTGCAATGGGAGCTGGTTTTTCATCGTGAGCACAGTGTCCTTTAAACAAGTGATGAATGAGTACGGTACGGCCTCGGTGAACCATTTGAGGAGCGCCTGATTGGCTAATAAGCTTCGAAATTACTTCGACGATATTAAACAGGCTCAAGCTACAGAATGTTGAGTAGAAGAGGACGGTGTGTGTCTGTCACTTTTGACGGTCCTATCTTAGGCGCATTCCTCACACTCATCATCACGCTCCTCACGTTCCTCACTCTTCTATCCTTCAGATCCTTCAGACTCCTCAGACTCTTCATACCGTTCATACTCTTTAGACTATTCAGACTCTTCAAAATCTTCAGAATCTTCACCATCTTCAGCATCTTCAGAATCTTCAGTATCTTCAGTATCCTCAGAATCTTCAGAATCTTCAGAATCTTCAGAATCTTCAGTATCTTCAGAATCTTCAGAATCTTCAGAATCTTCAGAATGTTAAGTATCTTCAGACTCTTCAGACTATTCAGACTCTTCAGACGCTTCAGATGTGTTAGATGTGTCAGACGCATGGGACGCTTCAGACCTTTCACGCGCCTCATACGTCTCAGGTGCCTCATGCGCCTCAGGTGCCTCATACGCCTCAGACGCCTCCGACTCAGGCTTAAGATGATTAATGTCCCTAAAGTGCTTCAGATTTTTCGGATTCTTGGATTCTTGAGATTCTGCACAATCTTCAGACTCCGTTCCGTACCAGCGGGGTGGTCTAGGGGGTGGTTCTCCGGGGGAGGGGGGGGGAGTGTCGGAACTTTATTTTGCTCAGAGGTGGTCATGCTTCTGATCCGCTACATTCTGAGAATCTGAAAAATGTGAAGAATCAGAAGGATTTGAAAAATTTGGCGATTCCTCGGATTCGTCAGATTTTTCAGTTTCAGATCATTCTGAGAATCCAAGTAATCAAGTAGATTCGAAGAAACGGAAGATTCCAAATTTTCTAGGAACAGGAAAGTTCTTCAAATTTTCCAAATTCTTGATTTTTAGATTCGTCAGATTCTTCAGATTCTCGGCATTTTTTATATTCTTTCGATTCTTCAGTTTCTTTTATATTCTTCAGGATCTTCAGAATCTTCAGAGTCTTCAGAATCTTCAGAATATCCGTGCTCTTCCGACTCTTTGGACTCTTCGGACCCCAGAGGTTTTAGGCGATTCATGCCCTTGTGGTGCTTCAGATTCTTCAGACTCTTCAAATCCTTCGGATACTTCAGACCATTTGGAACCTTCAGATCTTTCGGATCCTCAGTTTCTTTTATATTCTTCAGAATTTTCAGAATCGTCAGAATCTTCAATATCTTCAGAATCTTCAGACTCTTCAGACTCTTCAGAATCTTCAGTATCTTCAGTATCTTCAGTATCTTCAGTATCTTCAGTATCTTCAGTATCTTCAGAATTTTCAGAATCTTCAGAATCTTAAGTATCTTCAGAATCTTTAGTATCTTCAGTATCTTCAGAATCTTCAGACTCTTCATGCTCTTCAGACTCTTCAGACTCTTCAGACTCTTCAGACTCTTCAGACTCTTCAGACTCTTCAGACTCTTCAGACTCTTCTGACTCTTCAGACTATTCAGACACTTCAGACGCTTCAGATGTGTTAGATGTGTCAGACGCATGGGACGCTTCAGACCCTTCACGCGCCTCATACGTCTCAGGTGCCTCATGCGCCTCAGGTGCCTCATACGCCTCAGGTGCCTCTGACTCAGGCTTAAAACGCTTCAGAGGCCCCAGAGGCTTCAGATGATTAATGTCCCTAAAGTGCTTCAGATTTTTCGGATTCTTTTGATTCTTCAGATTCTTCAGACTCCGTTCTTCAGTGGGGTGGTCTAGGAGGTGGTTATCCGGGAGGGGGGGGGGGAGTGTGTAACTATATTTTGCTCAGAGGTGGTCATGCTCTGATCCGTTACATTCTGGGAATCTGAAAAATGTAAGAATCAGGATTTGAAAAATTTGGCGATTCCTCGGATTCGTCAGATTTTTCAGATCATTCTGAGAATCCAACGGATCAAGTAATCAAGTGGATTCCAAGAAACGGAAGATTCCAAATTTTCTAGAACAAGAACGTTCTTCAAATTTTCCAAATTCTTCATTTTTAGATTCGTCAGATTGTCAGTATTTTTTGTATTCTTCGATTCTTCAGTTTCTTTTATATTCTTCAGGATCTTCAGAATCTTTAGAATCTTCAGAGTCTTCAGAATCATCAGAATATCGGTGCTCTTCCGACTCTTTGGACTCTTCGGACCCCGAGGTTTTAGGCGATTCATGCCTTGTGGTGCTTCAGATTCTTCAACTCTTCAAAATCCTTCGGATACTTCAGACCATTTGGAACCTTCAGATCTTTCGATCCTCAGTTTCTTTTATATTCTTCAGAATTTTCAGAATCGTCAGAATCTTCGTATCTTCAGAATCTTCAGACTCTTCAGACTCTTCAGAATCTTCAGTATCTTCAGTATCTTCAGTATCTTCAGTATCTTCAGTATCTCAATTTTCAGAATCTTCAGAATCTTAAGTATCTTCAGAATCTTTAGTATCTTCAGTATCTTCAAATCTTCAGACTCTTTCATGCTCTTCAGACTCTTCAGACTTCTTCGACTCTTCAGACTCTTCAGACTCTTCAGACTCTTCAGACTCTTCAGACTCTTCTGACTCTTCAGACTATTCAGACACTTCAGACGCTTCAGAGATGTGTTAGATGTGTCAGACGCATGGGACGCTTCAGACCTTCACGCGCCTCATACGTCTCAGGTGCCTCATGCGCCTCAGTGCCTCATACGCCTCAGGTGCCTCTGACTCAGGCTTAAAACGCTTCAGAGGCCCAGAGGCTTCAGATGATTAATGTCCCTAAAGTGCTTCAGATTTTTCGGATTCTTTTGATTCTTCAGATTCTTCAGACTCCGTTCTTCAGTGGGGTGGTCTAGGAGGTGGTTATCCGGGGGGGGGGGGGGAGTGTCGTAACTATATTTTGCTCAGAGGTGGTCATGCTTCTGATCCGTTACATTCTGGGAATCTGAAAAATGTGAAGAATCAGGATTTGAAAAATTTGGCGATTCCTCGGATTCGTCAGATTTTTCAGATCATTCTGAGAATCCAACGGATCAAGTAATCAAGTGGATTCCAAGAAACGGAAGATTCCAAATTTTCTAGGAACAAGAAAGTTCTTCAAATTTTCCAAATTCTTCATTTTTAGATTCGTCAGATTGTCAGTATTTTTTGTATTCTTTCGATTCTTCAGTTTCTTTTATATTCTTCAGGATCTTCAGAATCTTTAGAATCTTCAGAGTCTTCAGAATCATCAGAATATCGGTGCTCTTCCGACTCTTTGGACTCTTCGGACCCCGGAGGTTTTAGGCGATTCATGTCCTTGAGGTGCTTCAGATTCTTCAAATCCTTCGGATCCTTCACACCATTCGGAACCTTCATATCTTTCGGATCCTCAGTTTCTTTTATATTCTTCAGAATTTTCAGAATCGGCAGAATCTTCAATATCTTCAGAGTCTTCAGAATCTTCAGAATTTTCAGTCTTCAGAGTCTTCAGAAGCTTCTGTATCTTCAAAATTTTCAGAATCTTCAGAATCTTAAGTATCTTCAGAATCTTCAGAATTTCAGAATCTTCAGAATCAGGATCTGAAGGATCTTCAGAGTTTTCAGAATCATAAGAATCTTCATTATCTTCAGTATCTGCAGTATCTTCAGAATATTAATAATCTTTAGAATCTACAGTATCTTCAATATCTTTAGAGTTTTCAGAGTTTTCATAATCTTCATAATCATCGGAATCTTCATTATCTTCAGTATCTGCAGTATCTTCAGAATATTCAGAATCTTCAGATCCTTCGGATCTTTCGCATCCTTCACATCTATCACATATTTGACATCTTTCCTATCTCTCACATCTTTCTCATCTTTCACATTCTTTCAGATTCTGCAGCTCCAATATTTCCTTTGGGTCCTTCGAATACTGCAGGTATGCTTCAGTTCCCTTCTATCCATCAGATTTCAAAAATTTGGCGATTCCTCAGATTCGTCAGATTTTTCAGATCCAACGAATCAGAAGCATTCGAAGAATCGTCAGAATCTTCAGAATGTTCAGAATCTCCAGAATCTTCAGTATCTTCAGTACCTTCAGTATCTTCAGTATCTTTAGTATCTTCCGTATCTTCAGTATCTTTAGTATCTTCAGTATCTTCAGAATCTTCAGAATCTTCAGAACTTTCAGACTCTCCAGAATCTTCAGTATCTTCAGTATCTTCAGTACCTTCAGTATCTTTAGTATCTTCAGTATCTTTAGTATCTTCGGTATCTTCAGTATCTTCAGAATCTTCAGAATCTTCAGAATCTTCAGAATCTTCAGAATCTTCAGAATCTTCAGAATCTTCAGAATCTTCAGAATCTTCAGAACCTTCAGAATATTCAGAATCTCTAGTATCTTCAGAATCTTCAGAATGTTCAGAATCTTCAGAGTCTTACGAACTTTCAGAATCTTCAGAGTCTTCAGAACTTTCAGAATCTCCAGAATCTTCAGTATCTTCAGTACATTCAGTATCTTCAGTATCTTTAGTATCTTCCGTATCTTCAGTATCTTCAGTATCTTTAGTATCTTCAGTATCTTCAGTATCTTCAGTATCTTTAGTATCTTCAGTATCTTCAGAATCTTCAGAATCTTCAGAATCTTCAGAATCTTCAGAATCTTCAGAATCTTCAGAATCTTCAGAATCTTCAGAATCTTCAGAACCTTCAGAATATTCAGAATCTCTAGTATCTTCAGAATCTTCAGAATCTTCAGAGTCTTTCGAACTTTCAGAATCTTCAGAGTCTTCAGAACTTTCAGAATCTCCAGAATCTTCAGTATCTTCAGTACATTCAGTATCTTCAGTATCTTTAGTATCTTCCGTATCTTCAGTATCTTCAGTATCTTTAGTATCTTCAGTATCTTCAGAATCTTCAGTATCTTCAGTATCTTTAGTATCTTTAGTATCTTTAGTATCTTTAGTATCTTCAGTATCTTCAGAATCTTCAGAATCTTCAGAATCTTCAGAATATTCAGAATCTTCAGAATCTTCAGAATCTTCAGAATCTTCAGAAACTTCAGAATCTTCAGAATCTTCAGAATATTCAGAATCTCTAGTATCTTCAGAATCTTCAGAATGTTCAGAATCTTCAGAGTCTTCAGAACTTTTAGAATCTCCAGAATCTTCAATATCTTCAGTACCTTCAGTAACTTTAGTATCTTCCGTATCTTTAGTATCTTTAGTATCTTCAGTATCTTCAGTATCTTCAGTATCTTCAGTATCTTTAGTATCTTTAGTATCTTTAGTATCTTCAGTATCTTCAGAATCTTCAGAATCTTCAGAATATTCAGAATCTTCAGAATCTCTAGTATCTTCAGAATCTTCAGAATGTTCAGAATGTTCAGAATCTTCAGACACTTGAGACTCTTCAGACGCTCCAAAGATTGTGAAGAATCCGGATCTTCACATTTTTCAGCTTCACCAACCCCTGCAGGACGTTTATGGAGAGTTATGGTGTTGATGGGTTGGTAATCTAGTAAGCTTGATATATCACCTAAGCCTTTTCAGGTAGCTGGATCACCTACGACTTCTATTAGTAGGCCGATGGGCGAATGGGGCAGGCTCAACGTGGTGGCATCGGATTACCAATGGCGCCGGCCCAAGCAGGTTGACGCTTACAGACACCCTTTCCAACTCCGTCACGACGCCGGATTGCCAGTCCCTCTGGATCAGGCCGTCGGAACTTTATTTTGCTCAGAGGTGGTCATGTCTTATCCGTTAGATTCTGAGAATCTGAAGAATGTGAAGAATTGACAAATTTTGCGATTCGTCAGATTTTTCAGATCATTCTGAGAATCCAACGAATCAGAAGAAACGGAAAATTCCTAATTTTCTAAGAACAGGGAAGTTCTTCAAATTTTCCAAATTCTTCAGATTTTTATGTTCTTCAGTTTCTTTTATATTCTTTAGGATCTTCAGAATTTTTAGAATCGTCAGAATCTTCAGATTCTTCATAATCTTCAGAATCTTCAGATTCTTCATAATCTTCAGTATCTTCAAAATCTTCAGTATCTTCAGTATCTTCAGTATCTTCAGTATCTTCAGTATCTTCAGTATCTTCAGAATCTTCAGAATCTTCAGAATCATCTATCCATCAGATTTTCCTGATTTTTCAGATCTCTCCGTTCGTTTAGATCCCAAAGACCTCGGACTTCTTACAGCTCATATTCTTCTATTGACTCTTTATTCTTCTTACTCCCTTTATGGTGTTTTTTTAAAACGTTTAGATTTTTTGAGGTTCTTCACAACTTTTTTGCCAGATATTCGTCCAGCTTCTGAGTCATGGAACTCGTCGGACTTATCCACTCCGACTCGGCTCATCCTCTAACTTACCTTCTGCCTTCTTTACTTTCTTCAGGTTCTCCAAGGCGTTGAATTTTTTATAAAATCGTTTACCTTCTCCCTTCTTCAAACGTGAAGCTTGAATCTTGCATCCTTTGATTTGAAGTAGCGTAGAATAACGTATGATTACTGATTTACTCAGATAACGTCCCTGAAGGTCAGAATAATAGTTTGTAAATCACGTTATCTATATAGATAACAACGGATTTGCGAAACCGCGCACTTTTGTGTACAAACGCGATTATTACGTTACGCAAGTTTCAATTTTCGGGAACTCAACGGCACCTAAAATGGACCTCATTTTTAGCGGCTCCAATCTGAATAACGTACGCCTGACATTTACGCAATCTTCCGGATATTCGAGATAATAGGAGTCGCTCACTTAATCCAGGTATTCCCCTCTTGCTTTCACAACAGTACAGCGGCGATGTGACGGCAGCTTCAGTTCGTAACGTGCGTTTTCAGAGTGAAGATCACCAGGTGCGATGACTTTCGACGTTGGGGTTAGCAACGGCTCGTCTGGAGGTAAGGCGATCCCCCTTCACGCGTCCAATTCAAAACGTCGCTTTCAGTTCAGGTCATTTGCTACTACGGCAGCTGGAGGTCGTACACCACGTGCAAAATTGAAGAAATCAACGCGACTCTTTGTACCATTTTGATCTACGCGTTCGCCCAAATCCACGAGAACGGCACCCTGAAACCGCTCGACGAGTGGGCCGATATCAGACTCGGTGAGTTGAGGGTTGGGCGTGGCCCAGACTGTAATTGCGTTGCAGATGGGTACAGGCGGTTTACGGCGCTGAAGAAGCGGAATCCACGACTGAAGACCATGCTCGGCGTAGGCGGTGGAAGCGAAGGATCCGAGAAGTACTCCAAGATGGTCGCAACGAGCGCCAGCAGGGCGGTCTTCATTGAGAGCGTGATCGGGTACATGCAGAAGTATGGGTTCGATGGTGTTGACCTAGACTGGGAGTACCCGACGAGGCGCGGGGGGCGACTTGAAGATCGCGAAAACCTCTCCGAGCTCCTGAAGGAGATGCGGATTGAGTTCGATCGCCACAACTACCTGATGACCATGTCCGTCGTACCCAACGACGCGAGCATTGACACCTTCTACGAGGTGCCCCAGCTGTCCAAGTAACCTCTGCGACGTGATTCTTCAAAGATGACCGGGTGATCTTTCAGGTACCTGGACCACATACTGATGATGATGTACAACATGCACTCGCCCACGTCTGGACGTACCGGCCACAACGCTCCCTTGCAATCGAGCAACCGCTACAACGTCGTAAGTGCCGTGGCGCGTGGAATAACGCGACTAACTTGCACAACCCCCAGGAGTATAGCACCAAGGCCTGGGTGAGAAAAGGCGGAACGCCGGCGAAGCTCATCTTGGGCATACCCGCCTACGGAAGATCGTTCACCTTGGCCGACCCCGGCTCGCACGGAATCGGCGCGCCCAGCGTCGGTCTAGGTCTGCCCGGTCCGTACAGTAGAGCCAACGGAACCTTGTACCACTACGAGGTGCTGCACTTCCAAAAGGCTTTGGGATGGACGAGGGAGTGGAGCGAAGAGCAGCAGGTGCCATATTCGTACTACAGGGATCAGTGGGTGGGCTATGACGATGCGGAATCGGTCAGGAGAAAGGTGAACTTCACCCCCCCCCCCCCCCCCAACCACTTAGACAAGCTTAAAGTGTTGTTTGCAGGTGGAGTTCGCCAGAAAGTTGAATTTGGGCGGCGTGATGATGTGGACCATCGACCAGGATGATCCGCGCGGTCTCACCGGCGAAAAATTTCCTTTGCTGAATGTAATTAATAATGAGTACGCTAATTAAATTAAATTAAATGATTTCCTGTTTCCCTTATCATTCCATGTATAATTGTTTAAGAAAGTGCTTAAAAATCATCGACTGGCACCTAATTGCACATTAAACCAGTGCTAATTACTCGCATTCTGCGCTCCTGATACCATTAATCCTTTCACACCAAAATTGTGCCAAGCGAATATCAACCACAAAAGTATTATTAATTTCTGCGCTCCTGATACATTTCCTTTCCAGAGTGTTAGTAAAATATAAAAGAAAACGGCGCCCGTCCTCCTACGCTCCTGATACAGATCCAGAAAGTATTGGCTAATTTACTGATTTGAGAAAACGGTGTGCGCTCTTCTACGCTCCTGATACCATTAAATTTGTCTACCGCAATTGTACCACGCGAATACCCCACAGGAAAGTAATTTCTAACTGATTTTGTATTTATGGGCTCCTGATCAGTTCCTTTCTAGTTAGTCCACCCTTCTGTGTTCCTGACACAATTAGTTTTTTTACCGCAATTTATTGTACATATCATATAATTAGTTCTATTTCACCGAAATTGTACCAAATGAGTACCTTTCTAGAGTGCGAGTAGAATCTACGAGAAAACGGCGTGTGTCCTTCTACGCTCCTGATACCATTAGATCTTTTCCATCGCAATTGTACCTGTGTAAGTAAGTAATAACGAATTTTAATTTCTGCACTCCTGATACACTTCGTTTCTTAGGCCAGAAGAATTTTCAAGATAATAGCGTGCGTCCTTCTACGGTTCTGATACCATTAATTCTATTCCACCCTTAATGGTACCAGGCTAATAGGTAATATCTCACCTGAAGGTAATTTTTGGCTGATTTTAATTTCTATGATTCTCATACAATTCCTTTCTAGGATCAGGAGAATATATGAAAAAGTGCGCTCCGAAAACAATTAGTTCTTTTTCGTCCACATTGTACCAGAGGAATATCTCACAGGAAACTCATTGCTAATTGAATTTTAATTTCTGCGCTCCTGATGCAATTCCGTTCCGACGAGTGAACGGTACCTGCCTTTCCACGCATCCCGATACCATTAATAGTTTCTTTTCCCTAAAATTGCACCAGTCGAATACCTCACAGGAAAACAGTTGTTATTTGATTTTAATTTCTGTGCTCTTCATACAATTACTTTCTAGTGCTGGTAGAATTCATAAGAAAATAATGTGCGCCCTTCTACAGCTATTTTTTACCGAAATTGTTCCAGAGGCCAATATTCACAGGAAATTATTTACTAATTGATTTTAATTTCTGCGCTCCTGATACAATATTCCTTTCTATAGTGCGAGCAGAACAAGAAAACGCTGTGTGTTATCCTACGCTCTTGATACCAACGTAATTGTAATTGTAATATCTCAAGGAAAGTAATAATCGATTATAATCTTTGCGTGCCTAATAGACTTCGTTTCTAGTGTCCGAAGAATTTGCAAGAAAACTGTGTGCTCCTACGCTTCTGATAGAAATTGTACCAGGCGAGTACATACCTCCAGGAAAGAATTGGCGAATCGATTTTAATTTCTGCGCTCCTGATACAATTCCTCTGTACGGTTAGAAGAATTTGCGAGTAAACGGTCCTTCTACGTTTCTCATACCATTAGTTACTTTCCACCGAAATGGTGCCAGGCAGAGGCGAATATTTATATGAAAGTAATTGCTATTTGATCTTAATTTCTGCGCTCCTCATACAATTCCTTTCGAATGTCAAAAAATTCTGCCAGAAAACAGTGTGTGCCCTTCAGCGCACCTGATATTAGTTCCTTTCATTAATTTGACCAGGCGAATACCTGGCAGGAAAGTAATTTTAATTTCTGCGATCCTGATACAATTCCTTTTTAGTGGCAGGAAAGGAAAACAGTGTCCGCCCGTCAGCTATCCTGAAACAATTAGTTTTTTTTACGGAAATTGTATTAGACGAATATGTCGCAGGAAAGTAATTGCTCCTTGATTTGAATTTCTGCGATCCTTATACGATTTCGTTTCGTTTCCCTGCATCCTGATACCATTAGGTCTTATTTGATAAAATTGTATCAGGCACGTACGAGTAATTGTTATTTGATTTTAATTTCTGCGCTCCTCATACAGTACCTTCCTAGTGTCGGAAGAATTTGCGTGAAAAAAGTGTCCGCCCTTCAGCGCTTCTGGTATTTGTTCCTGTTCACAAAGGTTGTCCCAGGCGAATACCTCACAGGAAAGTAATTTCCAACGGATTTCTAATTTCTGCACTTCTAATACAATTATTTTCTAGTGGCAAGCGGATATTATTAAAAAAGAGTGTCCGCCCTTCACCGAAATTGTTCCAGACGAATACCTCGCAGGAAAGTAAAGCTCGATTTTAATCTCTGCGCTCCTGATACACTAATTAATTGTAACCATTCCCTTCTAATGTCAAGAAAATATATGAAAAAACAATTTCCGCTCTTCAGCACTTCTGGTTCTTTTCTACCGAAATTGTACCAGGCGAATGCCTCATAGGAAAGTAAGTGTTGTTTAAATTTAACTTCTGCGCTCCTCATACAGTTGCATTCCAGTGTGAAGCATTTATGAGAACACCCTGTCCGCCTTTTTGCGCTCCAGAGACAATTTGGTTCTTTTTCGCCGAAATCGTACCAGGCAGGAAGGTAAGTTCTGACTGATTTTAATTTCTGCGCTCCTAATACAATTGCTTTCTAGCGTTAAGAGATATATGAAAGAGTGTGCGCCCTATAGCGCTCCTGATACAATTAGTTATTTTCCACCGAGGTTTTGTCAGACAGAGGCAAATATTGACAAGAGAGTAAGTGCTTGATTTTAATTTATGCGCTCCTCATACAATTCTTTTCTAGTGTCAAGAAAACAGTGTGCGCCCTTCTACGCTTCTGATGCCATTGGTTATCTTTCACCGAAATTGTGCCAAACAGAGAAATATTCACAGAGAAGTAATTGCTATTTGATTTTAATTTCTGCGCTTCTGATACAATTCCTTTCTAGTCTCAAGAATATGTGAAAACATAGTGTCCATGCTCTTGATACAATTAGTTCTTTTTCACCGAAATTGAACCACACGATTATTATTATGCTAATAATACCTCACAGAAAAGTAATAATCGATTTTAATTTCTGCACTCCTGATACACTTCGCTTTTGGTGTCCCATGAATTTACAAGAATACTGTGTCCTCCTGCGCGTTTGATACCATCAGTTCATACAACCGAAATTGTACCTGGGTAATACCTCACAAAATTGATATTAATATCTGCGCTCCTGATATAACGGAATTAATTTTAGACAAAGCAAGCAATACCTAATTTTACTTATTTGTGACTAGCAATAATTAGGAAAGTACAAATTCCACGTACAAACATTGTAAATGATTGCACAACCCAGATTAAGTGTTTACCTAAGATAAAGGTAGCCTTAATTGAAGGAAATTTTGCACAACGTATTTTAATACTTTTCAAGGTTTCAATGGGGGCTCCTAATTTTCAATTTATGTCAGATCCGTATAAGACCATAAAATTCTTCGGATTCTTACCGTTCGTTGAATTCATCAAATTTCTTCAAATTCTTCTAATTCATGGGATTTTGGAGGTCACTTGGATCCTTAACTTATTCAAGGTCCTTTCTTTAATTGTTGTTTTTGCATTCTTCATATGCTATTTTTCAAACCCTCCGGATTCTTCAAAACCATAAAGAATCTTGAAATCTTCCGATCTTCAAATTGCTTTAATGTAATCTCTGCGCTCCTGATACAATTCCTTTCCCGCGTCGAGAATATCTCCAAAAAACCAGCGTCAGCCCTTCAGCGCTCCTGATACGAGTACAATCAGTTCTCTTTCACCGCAATTGTACCATGAGAGTATTACGTAGAAAAGTATTTGCTAATTGATTATAATCTCTGCTCTCCACATACAATTCCTTTTTAGTGCTGGAAGAATTTGCGAGAAAACTCGCTCCTGATAACAGTAGATCTTTTAATCGCAATTGTAACAGACTAGTACCTCACAAGAAAGCAATAATCGATTTTAGTTTCTGTGCTCCTGATACACTTTTCTAATTTCTAGTACAATATGCGAGAAGTCTGTGTGAGCACTCCTACGCATCTGACACCATTAGTTCAATTCAACCGAAATTGTACCAGGTGAATAAATCCCAGGAAAGTAATTGCTAATTGATTTTAGTTTCTGCGCTCTTCATACAATTCCTTTCTAGTGCTAGAAGAATTTGTGAGAAAACGCGCTCCTGATAACAGTAGATTTTTTATTCGCAATTGTAACAGGCCAGTATCGCACAAGAGAGCAATAATCGATTTTAATTTCTGTGCTCCTGATACACTTCGTTTCTAGTATCCGAAGAATATGCGAGAAAACTGTGAGCACTCCTACGCACCTGATATCATTAGTTGAATTCAACCGAAATTTTACCAGGTGAATAACTCCCAGGAAAATTGGTTTTAGTTTCTGCGCTCTTCATACAATTCCTTTCTAGTGCTAGAAGAATTGGCCATATAACTATAAATTCACAGGAAAGTAGTTTTCTAATTGACTTTAATTTCTGGACTCCCGATATAATTAATTTCTACAGTGTGAAATTGTCCCAGACTAATATTACTTCACAGGCTGATTTTCATTTCTACGCTCCTGGTACAATTCCTGTCTAATGCCAGGAGAATATACGAAAAAGAGTGTCCGCTCTTCAGCGCTCCCCAGACAATTTATTCTTTTTTACCGCAATTGTACCAAACTAATACCCCTCAGGAAAGACTAATCGATTTTAATTCCTGCGCTTCTGATACACCTCGTTTCTATGGTTAGAAGACTTTGTCAGAAAACAGTGACCGATCTTCAGCGCTCCTGAGAAAATTGCCCCCGAAATTGTGCCAGGCGAAAGTAAATGCTAATTGATTTTAATTTCTGCTCTCCCGATACAATTCCGTTCCGACGAGAAAACGGTGCCCGCCTTCGCTCCCACCCCGGCACCATTAGTTCTTCTTTGACAAAATTGTACCATGGGACTATCTCACAGGAAAATAATTTCCAATTCGTTTTAATTTTTGCGCTCCTGATACAATACATTTCTAGTGTCAGGAGAATATGGGGAAAACAGTGTTCGCGTTTCTGATACAATTACTTTCTTTCATCAAAATGGTACCGGGAAAGTAACTTTTAGCTGATTTTAATTTCTGCATTCCTCATAAAATGCCCTTCTTGCGTCCGAAGAACTTTCGAAAAACAGTGCCCACCCTTCAGCACTCCTGATGGAATTAGTCCTCAGGAATGTAATTTTAGATCCTTCACATCTTCCAAATCGCTTTCTTCACGTTCTTCCGATGAAGCTGAATAAAGAATCGGAAGGGTCCTCAAATCTTTCAGATTCTTAAGATTTTTAGATTTTTCAGGTCCTTCAGATTCCTCAGATTCTTCAGATTCCTCAGATTCTTCAGATTCCTCAGATTCCTCAGATTCCTCAGATTCCTCAGATTCTTCAGATTCTTCAGATTCTTCAGATTCTTCAGATTCTTCAGATTCCTTAGATTCCTCAGATTCTTCAGATTCCTTAGATTCCTCAAATTCCTCAGATCCTTCAGATTCCTCAGATCCTTCAGATTCCTCAGATCCTTCAGATTCCTCAGATTCTTCAGATTCTTCAAATTCTTCAGTCTTTAGATTCCACAGATTCTTCACATTTTTCAGATTTTTCAGATTCCTCAGATTCTTTAGATTCCTTAGATTCCTCAAATTCCTCAGATCCTTCAGATTCCTCAGATCCTTCAGATTCCTCAGATTCTTCAGATTCTTCAGATTCCTCAGATTCTTCAGATTCCTTAGATTCCTCAAATTCCTCAGATCGTTCAGATTCCTCAGATCCTTCAGATTCCTCAGATTCTTCAGATTCTTCAGATTCTTCAGATTCTTCAGATTCCTTAGATTCCTCAGATTCTTCAGATTCCTTAGATTCCTCAAATTCCTCAGATCCTTCAGATTCCTCAGATCCTTCAGATTCCTCAGATCCTTCAGATTCCTCAGATTCTTCAGATTCTTCAAATTCTTCAGTCTTTAGATTCCACAGATTCTTCACATTTTTCAGATTTTTCAGATTCCTCAGATTCTTTAGATTCTTCAGATTCCTAGATCCCCAGATTCCTAATGTTCCTCAGATTCTTCAGATTCCTCAGATACTTCAGATCCCCAGATTCGTCAGATTCTTCAGATTCCTCAGATTCTTCAGATTCAACAGATTCTTCAGATTCTTCAAATTCTTCAGTCTTTAGATTCCACAGATTCTTCACATTTTTCAGATTCTTCAGATTCTTCAGAATCATCAGATTCCTCAGATTCTTCAGATTTTACAGATTCCTCAGATCCTCAGATTCTTCAGATTCTTCAGATTCTTCAGATTCCTTAGATTCCTCAGATTCTTCAGATTCCTTAGATTCCTCAAATTCCTCAGATCCTTCAGATTCTTCGGATTCCTCAGATTCTGCAGATTCTGCAGATTCCTCAGATCCTTCAGATTCCTCAGATTCTTCAGATTCAACAGATTCTTCAGATTCTTCAAATTCTTCAGTCTTTAGATTCCACAGATTCTTCACATTTTTCAGATTCTTCAGATTCTTCAGAATCATCAGATTCCTCAGATTCTTAAGATTTTACAGATTCCTCAGATCCTCAGATTCTTCAGATTCTTCAAATTCTTCAGATTCCTCAGATTCTTCAGATTCTTCAAATTCTTCAGTCTTTAGATTCCACAGATTCTTCACATTCTTCAGATTCTTCAGAATCATCAGATTCCTCAGATTCTTCAGATTTTTCAGATTCCTCAGATCCTCAGATTCTTCAGATTCCTCAGATCCTTTAGATCCTCAGATTCCTCAGATCCTTTAGATCCTCAGATTCCTCAGATTCTTCAGATTCCTCAGATTCTTTAGATTCTTCAGATTCCTCAGATCCCCAGATTCCTAATGTTCCTCAGATTCTTCAGATTCCTCAGATACTTCAGATCCTCAGATTCGTCAGATCCTTCAGATCCTCAGATTCTTCAGATTCCTCAGATTCTTCAGATTTTTCAGATTCTTCAGAATCTTCAGATTCCTGTGTTCCTCAGATTCCTAAGATTCATCAGATTTTTTCACCTTCTTGAAATGCAGGATTTACCTGCAAGACGTTTATTCAATTCGTAATTCAATAAGTACGTGTCTTAATTAGTAATTATCGTTTAATTATGGTGCAAATTAGCACATCGTAGACCCTAAATTAGGCAAATTAAGTATCGATTGGTTTATCATTATTTTAGTTACACCCAATTTAATTGGGCAATCGTTCCTTAACACGAGCACTCCTCTTTGACAGCCTTGATAAGGGGAAATTTGACCCCGAGCTCTCCCCGAGGATCGTCCATGTCGAGGGACCACACCATCACGCCACTGAGTCCCTTTGACTTGGCGAATTTGACCTAGGAAACCACTGTTGAAGATGGCACAACGTGAGGGGTTGACGAACCTTGAGTTTGAGCGATCTGCCGTCATCGTAGCCGACCCACTGATTGCCATGGTAGCTGTAGGGCACCTGCTGCTCCTCGCTCCATTCCTTGGTCCATCCCTGTTGCTGTTGGTACTTGACCACCTCTGAGCAGAAGAGAGTTCCGGCGGCTTGACTCAGCGGTCCCGGCAATCCGGGACCGGTAGAGGGCGCGCCGATACCGTGACTCGCGGGGTTGGCAAGCGTGTACGAGTGACCGTAAGCGCCTAGCCCCAAGGTCAACCTTCTTGGGTCGGCGCCTTTGGCAATCCAGGCGTCGACCGAAGCCGCCACGTTGAGGCTGTCTTGGGAGTGCATGGGCGCGTTGGCGCCCGTCCGCCCATCGGCGTGCGAATGGAAGTCGTAGGTCATTACGTGAATGTGGTCCAGGTACCTGAAATAGCTTAGCTGATATCAAGCTTACTACACGTGCGCCTACTTGGAGAGTGCGGGAATGTCGTATACGTCCATGTTGCTCACACCGGCGGCAACGGCCATGCTGAAGAGACCACCGCGCTTGTCGAACTCCAGACGGACCTCCTTCAGGAGCGCGGTTAGATTTTTCTGCAACCAACCCGTTTAGACTTACCTCCAGCTGGTGACCTCACTCACCTTATCCTCCGGAGAACCACCCCGCTGGCACGGATACTCCCAATCCAGATCAATACCATCAAAACCATAACTCTTGATAAACGTCCTGCAGGAGTTAATAAATTTGCGCCTCATCTCCGGCGTTCGGACCATGTCGGAGTACTTCGCCGACCCCTCGTTCCATCCGCCGACGGCGAGCAGTGTCTTCAGTCGCGGGTTCTTCGCCTTCAGCTCGTTGAATTTCTTAAACCCCTCTGGAATCACGACGATACACAGTGACGCTAGCCACTTGGAAGACACTTACGCAGCTGTATGTCGGCCCAGTCGTCCAGGACGCGGATCGTGCCATCCGAATTCAAACCGGCAAACGCGTAGATGAGGACGTCGAAGAGGGTGGGGTCGATATCTTCGATCTTGCACGTGCTGTACACCTTCCAGCTGCTGTAGTAGGCGACGACGTACACTGCAATTCAAATATTCAGTTAATCAACACTCATGCGCTCCTGATACACGAGAAAGTAAGCGATATTTTCGTATATATTTCGTTTCTGATACACTGTCTGAAAATGACTTCTTCATCTGTTCTGTGATTTTCTCCAGATTCTTCCTGATGCAAGATCAAGTGGTAAATTAGGACATGTCTTCTGTGCTCCTGATATTAATTACGATTAACTAGCTATATGGTACACATTTTCTCGCTACTAAGCTCCCAGTACATCACATTGCGTTACATAAACACACACTATACCTGTTCTGTTTGTTTCAGATTACGTTTTCTGTGCTCCTAATCCAGTATCTGAAAATTAAATCGACGTATGCATTTCTCCTGTAAGTAGTACGTATCCTCTTTTCATTCCCCTAATATCGATCGAATCCTTTCGTTAAAATACATTCACGGCATCTCGCACCTGTGCTCCTGATACAATTTTAGTTCGCATGACCATCATGGTTAATTTAAGAAAAAGTTTGAGCTCCTGCTCTCGATAAACTGAAACGTTTCCAAAAACATAAATTGGAATAATTTAATACCTTCAAAGCAATTTTCTGCGCTCCTGGTTGACCTTCTCGAAGCTCCTGATACAACAAAGTTTACATTGTCCTCCTGAAGCAAGACAAGGTGAGCTTTGAATATAAAATATATTTTTTATTCAAGGATATCAGGAAAATATGAGGTGACATTGTTTTTTGGAAGCGCTTTACAAGCAGGAGAATAAAAAAAGATTCATTTTGACCTTCTCGATGTTGCCAGTAACGGTATAAATTAAGAATAGATACAAGACTTTGGCATCAAAGCTAATGAGAAAAATTTGCCTCTGTGATCCTGATAGAACCACTTTTGAAATATAATTTTGATCAGAAAGTGGTATCAGGAAAACATAAAACGTGACAGGGCTTTCGTTGACGTAGTATGGCACATGTATATTTTCTTGAGTTTCTGATCTCCTGATAACTATGTTCACACTAAAATTCGAGCTAAAATTATATATCAGGAAAACATGAGATGTGAGAAGTTCTTCAATTAGTCCTGGTAAATTCCTTTGAAATTACCAAGCGGGCATAAAAATGAGAAAATCAACTTTATGAACTACAACCTGCTGTAAAATTACTTTCGAATGTGAATGTGCTAACAGGAGACGATAATGAGAAAGAAAATCTGTAATGTTTTAATAGGGCACTATAATGACACTGGGAGAAGTATTTTTTCACGAGAACACAATATGTGAGAGAGTAACATAAATTGACCTTCTCACAGATCCTCATCAGGAGAACATTTAACGCTTCAATATGGCCTTTTAGCTCCGTATACTAGTAGAAATCTCAAATAAGAATGTACTATCAGGAGAACATCATCTGTGAGATCTTCTGCCTTCTACCATGGCACATACTACTTTCAGTTGTCAGGAGCACATAATGCAGGGATAGTGACCTCTCAATATTAGTTTTTCTTCCATCATAATTATATCGAGGAAACTGTGATATCAGGAGAATATAATCAGTAAAACGGTAATATTTATCATTGCACCATCATTTTCAGATGTTAGGAGCGCATAATGCAGAGAAGGTGATCGATAATTTTGCTCGTCTCGCATCATAACTATACTGGTAGGCTTATTCCTATATCAGATTGTGTTATCAGGCGAACATAACTTGGGAGAAGGTTGTTGGGTAGGCTTTCTAGTATTTTTCGAGACCGAACTGAACTACTTTGTGACAATCTTGTAATATTAGGAGAACAAAACGTGCGAAAAAGCCTTACTCGTTTAGGTTTCCTGGTTTCGTCCCAATTTGAGCATTTTGGAGAACAGTCTGAATACGAAGATCTTCAATATGACCAGTTTCAATCCATCAGCGTTTCGGTTATCCTGACACAATTATTTTTAGAGATAGACCTTCCGCGTTTCTGGTAATCCAATTGTTTTTGAAGAATCGCGCATTATCAGGAAAGTGCAACACATGAAGACGTCATTGTTTTCTAGGTTCCTGGTACCTTTCCCTATCTAAGCCTTTCTGAACCTAATAATCCATTCCTGAGAGAGAATTTCGGGCGAGAAGAAGAAAATCTTCCACAATATACTGTCACCAATTTATACCTTCTTGCATTTCTGTCACCCTGATACAAACACTTTAAGATGAGAGTTTGGCATCAGGAGAGTAATGCGAGGGGCAATGAGTCGGTCAAACCTTCTAGTGTTTTTTGGAATCCTAATACATCTATTACATGAAAACCAAGTAGTATCAGGTGAACATAAAGCACAAACGCGACTTCCGATTCCCGATTTCCTACTCTCGTTTCTGGCCTTCCTATGAGAGAAGGTTCTTGGTGATATTAATACGGCAACTTTCGGAGAATCTGGTAGTATCGGGGGAATATAACCCAAGAAATATTTCTGCTAGGTTTCCAGCTCCTATTTCTGTAATTGCGATCCTAATAATAATAAGTTTAGAGCTTTTCGCATTTTTGTCATTTTGGCATAATTAGTTTTAGATGAGAATTATAGTATCAGGAGTACAAAATATGTGAAAAGTATAGGCAATGTGGTATCAGGGAAGGACAATGTGGCTCATGTACTATTGATAATTTGGGACTTCTCGCGTTTCTGTTATACTGATACATCTCTATATGATGATTTGGTATCAGGAGAAGATAATTAGTGTAAGAGTAATATAAGTCTTTCGCGTTTTTACCCTTCCATTTTTCTATTACTGGTAGCGACTTCTAGTAAAAGTACAGATTTAATTGATTTCTGTTCTCCTGATAGAAGCAGATATCATTCTGACTATAATAATAGGTAGTTCAAATTCTGAGATATCCGGAAAACATAAAGCGAGACCTTTAATTTTTTCTTGGAATCTTTTTGTAAGCAAGAGGAAAAGGAAGAACCATGTCGTGAGAATAGCTTTGATTCCAAAGCTTATGGAAAAGACATTTTTGTTTTGTTGCACTTCTGTTATCCTGATAGAATCATTTCCAGAATAGGCAAGAAAGTCGTCTGTAGATGACCCATTAAGTTCTTCTCCCGTATCTCTTATACATCAAAATTATCTTCGAATGGTAATTTAGCATCAGGAGAACATAATACCTACAGGAACTTGAATGAGAAAGTGATATCGGGAGTCTCATTTTCGTTGGCGTGGGATGCCACATTTTAATTTAATAAGCATGTTAACAATAAGATTAGGTATCAGGAAAGCAGGAAGCAGATTGTGAATACGGGGACACAAACGTGAGAAGGTTATGACCAATTACGACCTCGTACCCATGTCATCCTGGTAAACGTTCTAGCAGAACGGAGAATGTGTAATAGGAAAACATAAACTGCGATAACGTAATATGTAATCTTCTCATATCTCTTATAATGGCAACATTTTTTCAGGTATCAGGAGCATATAACGCAGGCAAGACCATCTGTAATGTCTTATTATGGTTTTCTCGCATCATAGTTACCGGTAAAACTATTTTCAGATGAAAATGCGGTATCAGGAGAACATAATTAGTGTAGTAATATAAGTCGTTCGCGTTGTTACTCTTCCATTTGTCTAATGGTGGTAGCGACTTCTCATACAGACTTAATTGATTTCTGTTCTCCTGATACAAGCAGAGATCATTCTGACCATAATAATAGTTCAAATTCTGAGATATCTGGAACATATAAAGCGAGACCTTTAATTTTTTCTTGGAACCTTTTTGTAAGCAAGAGGAAAAGGAAGAACCATGACGTGAGAATAGCTTTGGTTCCAAAGGTTATGGAAAAAACATTTTTGTTTTGTTGCACTTCTGTTATCCTGATAGAATCATTTCCAGAGAATAGGCAAGAAAGTCCTCTGTAGATGACCCATTAAGTTCTCCCTATCTCTTATACATCAAAATTATCGTCGAATTGTAATTTGGCATCAGGAGAACATAATACCTACAGAAACTTGGATGAGAAAGTGGTATATTTAATAACCACGTTAACAATAGGATTAGGTATCAGGAAAGCATGAGATTGTGAATACGGGGACACAAACGTGAGAAGGTTATGACCAATTACGACCTCGTACACATGTCATCCTGGTGAAAGTCCTAGCAGAACGGAGAATGTGTAATAGGAGAACATAAACTGTGATAAGGTAATATGTAATCTTCGCGTATCTCTTATAATCGCAACATTTTTTCAGGTATCAGGAGCATATAACGCAGGCAAGACCATATGTAATGTCTTATTATGGTATTCGCGCATCATAGTTACAGGTAAAACTATTTTCAGATGAAAATGCGCTATCAGGAGGACATAATCTGTAAGAATTCTTGCATCTTTTATCGTAGCACAAGTATGTCAGGAGCGCATAACGCTCGCAAGGGCATCGTAGTGTTACATTATGTCACTAACTTAATTATTTTTGTAGAACTATTTTTAAATAGGAATGTGCTACCAAGAGAACATAACACAGGGAAAAGTGGCCTGATCTTCGTGTCATATTTTTATTGGCAAAATTAGTTTCAGATGGGACGAAGAAGGAGAATGTGTTATTAGGAGACCATATGGTAATGGTACAATTATTCTGTCCCTTTTCGCATCACACTGATACAACTAGTTTAAGATGAGAATATGCTATCAGGAGACCATAATATATAATGACTGATCTCTGTTGCTCTGGCAGAATTATGCTCATACGTTAGGAGCACATAATGTAGGGAATGTTACTGTAATGTATGTATGTATAAATCTCATCCTCATTCTCACTCATTATGGCCCTCTCATACCTCTGTTATCCTGTTATTTTTGGAGAGCGAAGTCAGTTACTTTATGAAAATCTGGCACAATTTAGATGAGAATTTAGTATCAGGAGTACAAAATATCTGAGAAGGTTCTTTGGAAATATATGGTACCAGGAGAAGATAATATGTTTGATGTAGGCCTTCTCACGCTTCTGTTATACTGATACAACTATCTTCAGACGATGATGGGGTATCAGGAGAATTTTCGTCTTCGCGTCGTGTAATCCTGAGACACTTACGTTTTGTCGAATGAAAATTTGGTATCAGGGTTGGTTGGAATAAGATTTTAATTATTATTCCCTTCGAACCCAAATTCTAGCTTCTGTTCTCCTGTTTCTATATTGTAACGTGCTTCTTCGCACCGTTTTCACTTTCACTTATTGATTTATAAACAGAAGTCTTTAAGCAAGCAACGATAATTGATCAATTTGCAGCAGAGGTCAATATTATAATCACCGAGACACATTATGACATCGAGGAAATTCCCAAATTGGGCATTCACAAGTGAGATCATCGCCCACATATCTTGAAGTGGGTAACGCAAATTCGTAATTAGTAAAGATTTATAATTAATTATTCGGCTGAAGATGTACCAAATTCTGTAACTTACTCCTTTCTCTTTGGTTCGCTCGCCGTAGGTGAAAACTTGTTTATATTGTTGTTTACCAGCACCAGCACTATTTATAAACACAAGGACTACGCGCAGGTCATGGTAGAAACGCCGGGGAACGACTAAATCGAAATTCCCAAGCCTTGTCGTAGTTACCTATGGTTTATCGTACTTTCCAGTTGTTTTGGGAGTAGTGCGGCGAGAAGATGAGTCACTTAGTGAAAGTAAGTCACGTTTGATATTATCATCAGTAAATGGTGTTTTTACTACTCAATTATTTAACTTGGTTGTGGTTATCGCTGGGGGTTTTGAAAAGAATGCGATAGTTAGGAATTCCCTACGATGGAGTCATCCCACAAAACTAAGGCGAAAGGTCATTGCGTGTTTTCTAAACGTAGGGGACCATTCCGTGTTTGTGATATGGGAAATTAGACGATGCACTGTCTTAATTTGTTGCTCGAAGTCCGTCATATGCGAAATTTCTTGTCGTTGTGATTATAGTTTCAAATGGAAGCATGGACTTCGTAAAAGTGAGTAACATTCATCTTCATTTTTCTCAAAAAGGTTCGAGTGATCGTCATACAAGTACAAAAAAATTAAAAAAAATATCTATTCGGTTGCAAGGACCAATTCGTTTTTTCTAGAGAATTTTTGAGATTCGATGTTTCGTTCTACATCTGAATTTTCCGGTCTTTCATTCTCTCTTTTCTTTAATCGTTGTCCTTAATTTTATTTCATTTCTCTCTCTGCCCTTTTTTTTCCTTATTTCATCCTTCTTTCCGCAATTGTTCATCTATTCCATCCTCGCGTTCTTCGCACCGCCGTTTCTCGTTCATTCTTCAATTTATGCCTCCTTCTACTTTCTCCCCTGGATCGTTTTCTTGTTTCCCTTTTTAGTATTTTCAATTTTCTGTTCTTTTTCTTTATTTTCTTGTTTAGATCACATTCTTCGCTTACTCCTCCTCTCGCCGCCACTGCCTTTAACTCCGCATCCGATTTTATAGTAGGTATATCTCACCTTCATTGTCGCTTTTTCTTTTCGATCCTCCTCGCGTTCCTCCTCTCGTTCTTTCCCTCGCGACGTTCACCTTCCGGTTCCTCCTGGCGCTCTTCTTCTCGTTTCGTCTTTTTTCTCGATTTCCACATCTCTATCTCCTCCTCGTTTCGTTTCCAGTTCCATCTTTCGCTCTTTAAATCACTCATTCTCCTCTTTTCTCTTGTTTTTCCTGTCGACCATGTTATCAGTCGTTTCTTTCCACTCCTCTAGTCCATTTTCTCATTTCTTTTCTATTTCAGCGTTTTTCTCTCATCTCTTTAAGTTGATTTACTATCATGTTTTTTTAGGTGTTTCCCGTTCCTCTTCTTGGTCTCCCTATCGTTGCTCTGCTCGTTTCCACATTTCCGCACCCTTTCTTCCTTTCGTCTTCTTGTGCTTTTCTTGGTTCATCTCCTTGTTCCTCCTCTGCTACCTCCTATTCTCTTCATTTTGTTCTTTCACACTCCATGTTTCAAAACTTCCTCTCAAAAACCCCCTTTTTTCTATTTCTAATCTTCTTTTCGATCGTCCTATTATTTGTGTTTCCTCTTATTATATCTCACCTAGCTGACTTCCTCGTTTTCCACTTCTCATTCTTGTCTTTTTACTTACTTTTCTTAATTCCTTCTTCTTCGTTGTGCGTCTTTCTCCTTTTTAGTCTAGTTCCTCTTCTTTTTCCTCTCCTTTCCGCAATATTTATTAGTTGCTATCGCTTCCTATTCTGGTTGTTTCATCTAAATCGTTTTCTTGTCTTCTTTTCGGCCTTCCTCTGCTCTACCTTTCTAGGCATCTCGTTGCTTTTCGACTTTGTTCGCTCCTCCTCACATTCTTTCGTCAGTTCTTCACTTCGCCGTTTCCGGTTCATTCACTAATTAGTGTTCACGCCCCCTCTCTAGATTCTCCTCTTGTTCTTCTTCTTGTTCCCCTTTTCGGTATTTTCAATTTCCTTCGTTTTTTTATTTTCTTATTTATCGTTGAAATCACATCCGCCACATCATTCATTGCCGCATTTGTTTTCTTTGTACACTTTCCAATTGTTTTTCTTCTCCATCCCCTTTACTTTCCTCCTCTCGTTCTTCACCTCGCCCTTTTTTTATCCACCCTCTAAATTCCGTTATCCTCATGCTCATCTCCCTCCTTTCACTTTTGGTTTTAGTCTCTGCCTCCTTTCGTTCGTCCAGTGTTGATATTTGTATTGTCATTTATCTTCTCTTCTCTCTTATTCCTCCTGTCGATCTTCCGTTCCTCCCCGCGTTCTTCGCATCGTTCTTCATTTGGTTTCTTTTTCCACCACATGCATCAAAGATTATCTTATCAATTCTGCTATTCCCACTCCTCTCGTTTCTGTCTCGGTTTCTGTTCTCATTGATTTTTTCGTTTTTCGTTTCCCCCTACCACTTACTTCTGTTTTTGTTTAACTCCTCTTTTCCTTTGCCCAATTTTTAAATTTTACTGTTTTTTTTTGTATCTGGATATCTTTTTGTCCTATTCTGTTTTCATTTTCGTCTTCTTCGCCCTCTTTTTATTTGCGTATTTCGTTCTAATCTGGATCCTCCTGTCCATTTCCCTCTTTATTTTCTTCCTTCTTCTTTTTCCTCATCTCATTCTTCTTTCCGTCATTTTTATTTTTCTATCGTTTCTTTTTCTCAGTGTACGTTTACATCGGTTAGTCCTCTTTCGTCTCCGTCTTGTTGCCCCTTCTAAATCTCCTCGTTGCCTGTCTTGTTAATCTCTTCAATACTCCCCGCTTTCTTCTTCCAGTTCTTCACACCACCGTTTCTCTCCTCTCCTCTACTTTCTCCCCTGGATCTTTTACTTGTTTCCCTTTTTAGTATTCTCAATTTTCGGTTTCTTTTTCTCTATTTTCTTGCTTATATGTATAAATATCACATTCTTCGCTTACGTTTCGAACCTCCCCACGTTCCCCCTCCCCATTTTCTTCGTATCTCTGTCTCCTTCTCGCTTCGTTCCATCTTTCATCATTTAAAGCATTCATCCTCCTTTTTTTCTTGTTTCTCCTGTCGACACACACACATTCCCTCGTCCCTACCCACGTACACTTTCCCTCTCGCTATGTTGCCAGATTTTTCTCCCATATGAATTTAATCTTGTTTTTCATCCCTTCTTCATTATTTTATTTTATCGGGTTTCCATTATTTTTCATCTTCTCATTTCGTTTTTATTTCAGCACCTCGTTTCTCCTCTCATTTCTACTATCGGTTCTCCCTCATTCACCTACTTGTTTTTATTCTTTGCCTACCACGTTTTTTCTTCTTGGTCCCCCTTTTGTTCCTCTGCTCGTTTCCACATTCCCGCACTCTTTATTCTTGTGCCTTTCTTCGTTTGTTTCCTTGTTCTTCCTCTTTTCATTTTATTCTTGTCTGTTTCAAAAACCTCCTCAAATTTTTTTCTATTTCTAATATTCTTTTAAATGCTTCCTGTCTCTCTCTCTCTCTTTTCTGTTTACCCAATTTTCTTAATTCTTTTTTTCTCGATTTTCTTGATTTTTGTCTATTGTTTCCGTCGTTCCTTCTCGTCGTTGCATTTTTATTTGCGTGTCTCGTTCTACTGCTAGATCTTCTGGTCGTCCATTCTCTCTGCCGTTCCTTTGTTCTTCGTCTTGCGCTTAGTGTAGTATCACCTCTCCTTCCTAATTTCACTCTGTCTTTCTCGTTTACCCTCTCCTTTCCGCAATTTTTATTTATTTTTATCGTTTCCTTATCTCGTTTTTTCGTCTACATCGATTTCTTCTCTTCCGTCTCTGTCTCGTCTACCTTTCTAGATCCCCTCGTTGCTTCCCCACCGTTTCACGCCCCCTCTCTAGATTCTCCTCTCTTTCTTCTTATTCTCCTAAAATTTTCTTGTTTTTTTTTTTAATTCTTTCTCGATTTATCGTTTAAATCACATTTTTCGCCTATGTCTGTGTTTCCTTTTCACTCTCCGCCATCTCCTTCATTGCCGCAATCGCTCTTCTTGTTCCTCTTTTTTCTCGATTTTCGCATTTACAACACTTTCTTCGCTTCACTTGTCTCCTTCTCGCGTCGTTTCCAGTTCCAACTTCCGTTCTTGAAATCATTAAGCTTCCCTTTCCTCCTCTCAACCATCTTTCCGTTCTTCCTCGCGTTCTTTTCGTCGTTCTTCATTTCGTTTCTTCTCTTGGTACGCCTTTCTTTCTTCCACTCATTTCCCCTCTTTTTCTTTCTTCCACTCTCCTTCGTTTTTCCACATTCACTCGTTCTTACCTTTTTTGTCTTCTTGATTACTTTATCAGTCCCTTCTTCCCACTCCTCTCGTCCATCATTTTCTCATTTCTTTTCTGTTTCAGCGTCTCGTTTCTCGTCTCGTTTTTTCCTTTCATCATCAGCCGCGTTCTTTGTCTTCTCCCACCTCCAACTTTTTCTCTCATCCCTTCAAGTGTTCTTGATTTACTACCATGCTTTTTGAGGTATTTCTTCTTGGTCCCCCTTTCGTTACTCTGCTCGTTCCCTCATTCCCGCACCATTTCTTTATTTCGCTCTCTTGTGATTTTCTTCGTTCATCTCCTTGTTCTTTCTCTCTTCCCTCTCTCCATTTTGTTCTTGCTTTCACTCTCTGTTTCAAGACCTCCGCATTTTTTTCCATTTCTAATCTTCTTGTCAATTCTGCTATTGTTTGTGTTCCTCTTATTACATCCCATTTCTGCCTTTCCCTTCATTGTCCTTGTTTTTCTCCTCTCATTCTTCTGTGCTTTTTACTCGCATTTCTTAATTTTTTTGTTTTTTCTCGATTTTTTCTCTCAGTCATTCCATTGTTATCCCTTTTCTTCTTATAGTGTAGTTTCCCCTTTCTTTCCTCATTTAGCTTTTTCGTTCTCCTTCTTTGCCCTCTCCTTTCAGCAACATTTATTTATTTTCATCCTTTCCTTTTCTCGTTTTTTCGTCTACATCTTCATCTCTTCCGTCTCCGTCTCAACCTCTCTAGATCTCCTCGTTGCTTTTCGACTGATTGCGTTCCTTCTCGCGCTGTTCACCTCACCGTTTCTCGTTCATCCTCTAATTCACGCCCTCTCTCGAGATTCTTTTCTCATTCCTCTTCTTGTTTCCCTTTTTGGTATTCTCAAGTTTCTTGGCTTTTTTCTCTGTCTCGTTTAAATCACTTTTTCTGTTCTTGCCTACTTTTTTAGTTTCCTCTAGATTCTCCTCTAGTCCTCCTTCCACTCTCTTCTAGTTTATTATTCTGTTGCTCCCCACATTCTCCTTTTTTGTTTTCAATTTTCCTCCGCTTTGGTCTACTTATCCATCCCCATCTTCATCACCACACCTCGTTCCTGTTTTCATCTGTTTATTTCCCCTCAACTTCTCATTTCTTCTCTTTTTCAACGTGTCGTTCCTCCTCTCATTCTTTCTATCGTTTCTCCTTAGTTCACACCTACTTGTTGCTTTGTTCTCCGCCTTGTTCTTCGTTTCCTCCCATCTCTGAATTGTTCTTTTGTCCTCTCCATTCCCTGTCTTTACTTACCTACCTCCTTTCGCTCTTCTTGTCTTCGGCGTTTTTTTTTCTTTTTGTTTTTTTTTGTTTTTTCTGCATTTTTTCGTTTTTTTTACGTCAGAATTCTATGTCTTTTTTTGTTTGTTTTGTGTTCTCTCCTCTCACCAGTTTCCTTGCTTTTCTTCTCATTTTGTATTTTGTCCGCTCTGGCTTCCCCTTCTTCTTTCTCTTTCGGCATTTGTTGTTTTTAACGCTTTCGTCCAGATCTCCTTATGCGTTTCTTTTGATAAACCCGTTTGGGATTACCGTTTTCTTTACTTTTTTCTTTTTCTTCATTTTCGCTTTCGTCGCTTTGCGTCATCGCTTCCCTCCTCCTTCACATTCTGCCGTTTCTTCGAACACCCACCATTTTTATCTCATTTTGTCGCTGTTTCTCTGGTTCCTCCTCATCTCCGCTCCCGCTTTCTAATTCTCCTCGTCTTTTTCATTGATATTAGGGTTCTGTTCGACTGTATGCTTCTCTTATATTCTGTTCATGCCCTGCTAGAAACAAATTTCGAAAAAAAATCCAAGGGCTGTAACTTTTGAATTAGTAGCCCGATCTTAGAACTGTTTGAAATTATGGATTCTTTAGGCCACATGCTATAAGAAAATTTTTTTCCGGGTCGATCTGAGACAATTTTTTTTTCGGGGCTCAAAAAATGGCAGTGTATAACCTTGCTTTTTTACCATAAATCGACTACACCAAAATTTCTCGGGAAAACACTTTTTCTTATTAATTTGGGTGCGTAGAATCCAAATCAATTCGTACTTTTTCGATCAGACTTCTCCATCAAAAGTTATAGACTAGAAACCAATTTCGAAAAAAAATTCAAAGGGCTGTAACTTTTGAACTAGTAGCCCAATCTTGGAACTGTTTGAAATTATGGATTCTACAGGCCACATGCTATAAGAAAATTTTTTTTCCGGGTCGATCTGAGACAATTTTTTTTTCGGGGCTCAAAAAAAGGCAGTGTATAACCTTGCTTTTTTACCAAAAATCGACTACACCAAAATTTCTCGGGAAAACACTTTTTTTATTAATTAGGGCGCATAGAATCCAAATCAATTCGTACTTTTTCGATCAGACTTTTCAATCAAAAGCCTCGTTCATGCGTTCGTTATTCTTCAGGGGGGGAGGGGGAATCATTTTATGGGGTGGTGGGTGAGGGTGGGGGGACTAGTTTTATCCTTCATGGTACTCTAATGAAAGGTCTCAACGAAAGGAATTAATTTCTACCAACCATAGTCCTCCTCGACCCCCTATCGTGATCGGATATGTTCCCTTATACCTCAAGAACGGTTTGTCGAAAGAGGGCATTCTGGTCTATTGTTCAAGTAAAGCTACAACGACAATCTTCTTTCAGTCGCTACCAAAGGGCGATGGTACAACATCCACGAATCATGGGTCGACCTTTGAGGTGTACAGCTTGGCGCTGGTCCTCTTGAACAGCTGCAAGCTTAAGAAAAAGGTGAAGGTTTGGATCAACAAGGTGGAGTATCATCCTTGGGACGACCTTGTCATCGAAATTGATGGCAAGATCATCTGCGTCCAATTAAAGCACACGAAGGACTTCAACTACTCCAAATTGGAGGAGTATATGTCGCAACGTGAGGAGGTCATCAAACGGAATAAGTTGGAGGAAACGACTGTAGTTTTCATCTTTTCGTCCGTGTGTGGAGGTGAGTAGTTTCGCGTTTGATTTTCTTTCTCCAAGATTGTTTTAGATAAAAAGGCTTTGCACAAATACGAGAAGGCTGATCCAAACCAAGAGATCCTCAATCTAATCCTGACCGGAAAGCAGCACGTTTACCACGATCAGCACTTTGGACACGAGACGTTTTTGTGTATGAAGCAGATGAACGTAATCGGTATCGACATTAGAATTAGGGATGCGCTGAAGGAGTATATAGGGATACAAAATGTATCGAAAGACTTCCTCAAAACGGTCCAAGTTGTCTTGGTGGAGTACATCCAGAATCGTTACTATCGTCTAATTAAGGAGAACGAGCCGCTGACTTCGGAGGAGTTAACTGAGCAATTGGGTTACATTCTGCTCAATAAATTTAAGATCCCCCTGTTAATAGGCACTGGCACCGGGATTACCAACAACCTCAGCGAGATCCTGCCGAAATCCAACATCATCGCCTTGGACCACCGTTCCAACACGATCCTCAAAAGCGACATTTGGAATCACTTGCTGTTCGCCCTCAAGAAAGAGTCTCGTAAAATGAAACAGGAAACAATCGACTCACTGTGGATGACCGGAAAGCTCCACATGCCCCTCTCCTCGCCCGACATTCTCAGCGATCGCGAAATTCTGCGCGCCTTAGAAATTCTCGATTTCGCACCAAAGGTGCTCGTCCTAAGGCCTCGAGTGTTCCACGCCAAAATCGAGCAGAAGGTATTTACGATCATGCAGAACGTTCAGCCGGAAGACTACGAGCTTCGGTTCACAAGCGGAAGCGAGACGGAAACGTTCAAGTGCAGCCTGGTGCAGTTGGACAAGGTCAGAAACAGCAAGGTGCTGCACCAGGATTTCTTCGGCAAGCTCGCGAAGAAATTCACCGGAAAATCTATGCTCGAGGCGCACGACGAGTACCACTACGTCAACGACCTCAACGCGCACGGTGACGAGATCTGCACGGCCCTAATCTTCTGCATCAAACTGCCGAAGCTTGAGATTAAAGTGATCGAGCACCTGATCAGCCTGGGCGCGAACGTCGACGCGGCGATCGCCGGCGGACACGGTCCCCTCTACTTCGCCCTGAAGGCGAACCGGCTCGACCTCGTCCGGGTGCTACTCGAACACGGCGCGAACCCGAACGCCGCCGACAGGTACGGCAATCCGCCCCTCTACTACGCCGTCGCCGACCAAAAGCTGGACATGGTCGAGACGCTCGTGCGACACGGCGCGAACGCGGCCGCCGCCGACTTCTACGGCGACTTTCCGATATTCTGGGCGTACGCGCTGCGAAACTTCGCGATTATGGAGGCGCTGCTGCGCAAGCTCGACAGACCGTCGGCGGCGAACGCGAAGGGTTCGCACATCCTGCACGTTGCCGCCGCCGACGGATGCGTCGAGTGTCTGAGGTGCGTCGTGAGGTGCTGTTCGGACATTGACGTATTCATGACGGGAGATTATTACGGGAAAACGCCTGCGGATATCGCCAGGGAGGGTGGGCACCGGGAGTTTGTGAAGGTTTTAGAGGATGCTGTCGCTAACCGGACGCAAACGTGATCATTTTAAGACTGTGTATTAAAGACATTTATTACTGACGATCAGCTGTGATAGGTTTTATGCCGAACTCGTCTTCGGTTGCGTTTGGCACTTTTAATAAATGTATGTATGTATGGTTTCATTTTTCTAGCTCTTTCTGTCATTTCCCCTCTAGCTCTTCCTCTCTTCCCTACAGTCGCTTCTACAGTATTTACCAGTGTTTTTCCGATTCCTCCATCCTTGTCTTTATGTTCCCATTTACTGATTCGCTCCATCTCATCCTCTCCTCCCTTCTCTGCTTGATTACTTTCGTGCCTCCTATCTCACCTTCTGCCATTTCACCATTTTTGGTCTCATTATTCGCCCCCTCCGCCACTGACTTTGAAAGGTTCCACCCTGTATATACAACTTACGACGATACATACATTTTTGTGGGTTGGCAACCATGCAATTTTTGGCAACCATGCAATTTTATGTCATATTTTATATTTTGTGTGTTTGAATTTTTGTTTTTGAAATTTACTTGGTTTAACCGCAATGCAGAATCACGTATGTGATACCGTTATGCTATTGTTTGTAATTGTATACGTTTTTGGTGTAATGCTTGCTTAATTTATGTTTATTGATGTTGATTACTTGGTCTTCTCCCTGAAGTAACATTCATATAAGTTCTGATCATTTTATTTTAATATGTGGAAATTACCGATTTGTTTGAATGTATGTACTGACTTTTTGTTTGTTACTAACAATTTTCTCCGTGGTTTCGGGGGTGCTAAAAACTGTAGTCCAAATTGAGCTACGACACCTAATTCCGTGATTGTCTTCGACATTCAACCGTAGGCTCGAAACCCCGAAACCAGGGGCCGTTTACCTATCTTACAGGAGCGGAATTACGCTAATCAAAGCTCTTCAGTTTGTGCGATAAATGAGTGGCGCCCTTTTCGCGTCCCAAAGATTTAGCTTAGCCGTACGGAAGCCTTCCGAGCTTCTGCTTCTCCAGCTTCTGTGGATATACCCTAAAGCCAGGGAGGCTCTAAAAAGGTGCGACAAATGCAAGAGCAGCGGCTCCTGGTACTTCTGCAGAAGAATCGATAATATCCCGCCTGGTCCTGCACTATTAAATAGAACGTCCTCTTACTGTGCAGAAAATTGCTCTGTAAGAAGGTTACTATGTCCATCACTGATGCTGCCAGCCTAGGAAAGCCTCCCTCCCCCACCCTAGGGGTGGGGTGTTGTCAACAACTGCCTTCAATGTAGCCACAATACACTTCGACTGGGGCTCAGTGATGTATACCTCCGTGTGGCACCCCGGAACAATGCCCACTGTTAGCGCCGCCGCAGCGACTTGCCCATGGTGCTCCAGAATCTCTGGTGGTCCCTGACGTCGGGTTGGCCTCGAGTCGGCGCTTCCTGGCCATCGCCTTCAGTCCTGTGCTTCCTGCGAATAGGAGCTGGTCTCGGAGCTGGCCCACCAACACCACCAGGAAGCGTCCCCTCTTTCTAGGAGCCTGCCTCGTTGCCGGGCCCCCTTTTGAGGGCTCGACTTGTTGATCCCTCCTGACGAGGGGTCAAAGCTTTTCCCTTTTCAGTTTTCTTCGTCGTCATTCCATTTGTGTGACCAAATCTTGATCCTGGGCCCTCTTGCCACCCCTCCTCTCATTTTCTTCAACGTTCTTTTTGTGGCATGGTTTCTCCTTTAATTCCCCTTTTCGTTATTCTTCGTCTGCTTTTGCATCTCTCTCTCTTTTTTCTCTTAGTTGAATTTGCGTTTCTGTCTCCGTCTCGTTGTGTCTTTTGTTCGTTTGTCTTGTTCCTCTTCTCGATCCTTCTCGCGTTCCTATTCTCGTTCTCCCTCTTCGTTCGTCCTTTAGTTCCCGTCTCGACTCAATTTTCTCCTCCCGTTTTTCTTGTCGTTCCCCTTTGTGTTCTTCTTCTGTTTTTTTTTTAAATTTTGATCTTGCCTTTTACATCGCATTTTTTGCTTTCGTCTCTGTGACCTCTCAGTCGCTGCTTTTGCCTTCGTCGCTTTTGTCTATTTTTCTGTATCTTCAGCTTTTTTCAATTTTCTCCTTTTTCCGTTCTTGTTCTCCGTCATTCTCTCATCGCTCTTATTGCTTTTCAATGCGTCCCTTCTCTATTTCGCGGGTCCACCATTTTCTCGAATAACCACTCCTCCTCTTTCTGTCCTTGTTTACCCTATCATTCTTTATTTATTTTCGCCTCTCGTTCTTCTATTTCTTGTTTAGTTTTTGTTTCTCAATTTTCTCGACTCACTTTTTTGCTTCCGTCTCAACTTACGTCTTTGCTGTCTATATCCATCTTCAATTTTTCTTTCTCGTTATCTTTTTCTTGATCTCCTTACCATCCTTTACTCTTTTCCATATTCTCACATTGTTTCTTCTCTCTTCGTTTCTCCTCGTAGGTAGTTTTCCTTTTCAATATTCTTCTTCTTTCTTTTCTCCTTTCGCCCCTTTTTGCGCTCGTACATTCTTCATCTCCACCTCCACTTTTTGCGTTGTTTTTCTCTTTCTTGACGCTTCTCTTATTCCCTCCCCGTTTCTTGTGTGTTTACTCTTCTCCCTCCCTCATTCTTCTGCTTTCGATTTTATTTCTTTTAATGTTAGACCTTTAGTTTTCCGCTCATCTCAGCCTTTCTCTCACTCTCCTTTGGCTCTATTTTCTGTCTACATTTACCTCCAGGTGTTCTAGTGTGTCTCGTTTTCTACTTTGTCTTTTTAGTAGTTTTTCCCGTTTCTCGTTTCGTTCCTCCACTCATTTCCACATTCCCACTTTCTTCCTTCTTTAGGTTCTTCGTAAATTTGCTCTTTCTCTGGTTCGTCCACCCCTTCTCATTTCTGGTCTCGTTTTATTTTCTTCTTATCCTTCTTTTGTCTCTCGCTTCCCCTCATTGCATCCGTGAAAGTTTCTGCTTTCTTTTTTTGCGCATTTTTTAAGAATTAAAAAAAATGTGCAATTGTTTGCGTTTTGTCCGTCCGTCCGTCCGGACCCACTTCTGCCGTTTGGAACTACCTACTTCTAGAGGAATGGTCCTAGAGTCCTGGAATTTTTTGCAGTAGCTAGCCTATACCTTGAAGGTGTGCTAGACGGCCATCAAATTTCGCTGTTTAAAAGGGCCCCCCTCCCCCCACAAATTATTTCCTGAGACGCTGTTTTTGAAAGTAAAACGTGCATAACTTTCACATGCGACAACCAATTGGTCTCAGATTTTGCATACGCATACCTTTAGTTGTGTCAAGTTGAACTTTAGAAAATCGGGGGGGGGGGGGGGGGCACAATATGTTCTCTACCCTTCATGGTATTCCATTGAAAGCTCTCATCGAAATAAATTGGTTTGTACAAACTATAACTTCCCCGTGCGACTCTTTTTCGAATCAGTGAGCGACTGAGCATGAGAGGGGGGGAGGGATTAATGTTTCATTGTATTCTAATTAAAGGTCTCAACGAAAGGAACCGTTTTCTACCAACTACTGCCCTTCTTTCTGTCTTCTTATTAAAGTAAGGGGTGGAGGGGGGGGTGGAACTAGTTTTATCCTTCATGGTACTCTAATGAAAGGTCTCAACGAAAGGAATTAATTTCTACCAACCATAGCAGTTCTCAGTATACGATTAACATCAGTGTCAGACGTTACATTGCTATACGCGATATTTTATGCAGTGTTGTCTACTATTTCTGGACCTTCTCTTTGAGCTCTCTTCGTAGTTAGTTTTGTTTCACGAACCTGTGGGTTTTTAAAGAAAGAACACTACAAAAAAGCATAATCTTCAAATTCGTAGGCCTAGTTTATGGACGACGAAAGCATTGTATTCAAATCCGATAGATACAAATGTAAAACGCAATAACATTTAAGAGGATTGACTAGCTTCCAGGTAGTACAAAACGCATTTCTATGCCTATGGGGTGCGATTAATATTAATTAATCGCACCCCATAGACTTGTATTACTTTTTAGCTCCAAGATGTTGTTAGCAACATTAAGTAGTTGTGGTCAACGCGTACTTGCTAATCTTAGTTTTGGCGGGTCACAGAGCGTGTATTGTATTTAAATTCGTATTGCGTGCGAGTATAAATTGTGGTTTTCAGTAAAAGTTGCAAAAATGTCTCGGTTTGAGTCATCTTCAATGAACGCACCCAATGGAGACGATGTGGTGGTTTCAGATGACTTCTGGGTTAGAAGAATTACGATATACGCTTCTTCCTTTAGGTATGTCGGGCCGATTTCCACAGTCGGACGATGTTGATGGACGCGAAGGATCTGCTAACTCCAGTTCGAGAAGAATGAATGGAGAGCGCTTTGCCCGCATCTCCCACCGAGAATGGGCAAGGTGAATGACTGGCACAAGTTCGATGCGGGATATTTTGGTAAGGGATGCGCGTACTTCTAATTGCGTTGCCCAAATAATCAGCCACTATCTTCGGTTGGATGGACCTACTTTGTGTGTAGATTCCGCGTGTAGTGGCTCTGGAGTTGCGTTGGAACAACATACCACGTGATTAGGAAAAGCTTTTCCTCCTCGAACTTTTAACATGAAAAAAAATGGTTGTTCTGAGATATCCGTGAGGGCATTCGCGTTGAATCGTACGCGAAGATAGGTCAAGCCCCTGAAAATTAGCGCAGGGTGGTGTTTGTCAGAACGGAGGCTGCTACGTCCAAAGTCACGAAAATGGACGAATCGTTAACTTTTCGTTCAACATGGAAGTCGCTCGCATTTATAGGGTTGTTTTTATTGTGATGTGACACTCTAATAATCGAAAGCGTATATTATTTTCGGGGATGTTTAGTGCGTTGTTCGATTCTGACTTGCAATTGGCTTCCTAAGTGTAATTTGCACGAACCGGTCACAGAATCCGATCTGATTGTCACAAAGTGGAATAACGTGAATAGTTATCATCCAGATATACAACTGACTGGGAAAAGGACGTAAGGAGCCACAGTCTACCTGCCGAAGTCGGTACCATTACCAACCCATAACGCTTACCGAATATACCTAATTGCCGCTATTGCCCGCAGTATCCCTTCCACAGGGACCGCCTCGTCTTCGATTACCGACAACAGGACCAAGGAAACGGATCAATTAATTCAAACCGCAACCGATGGAGATCTTTCGACTATAGCGGTGAGGATCGGCCGCCCTACTCGACACCGGATCACATAACATCATCCGACGCGAGTTCATCTTCAAGATCCAGAAGTACGCGGAGGACGCAGCCGGATCAGAACCTGGTGACACCGTCGCTCGACACGCCGGTGATCCTCGGACTAGCTTGTTTACGCCACCAGGAATCCGTCGCCGATTACGAGCAGGCAGACGATATGCACTGGAACCGCGCCTTCAACCAAACCACCCGATGGCCACCGAAGTCAAACACGGCGCCACACCTGAAGGATCAGTGGGCCAAACACGCACGGAACTTTGAGAGAACGCTCACAGGAGACGCCTCCACAACTACCACACATAAGATTACGCTGAAGCAAGAAACGCCTTTCCGACTATCGAAGACCTGGAGGCCACCATTGTGTACCTGCAGACCTGGAAAGAACATTTCCACCAGGCTACGACTATCCGCGGAGAAATGCCGCTTTGGGGATACAATCCATTCAGTATCCTGGTCACACCAATGAAGCAGACGGCAACAAACCGCTACGGGGGCACGTCGAAGCCATCCTCACCGCCGAATCGCGTAAAACAAGGCAGCAGCTGCGTAGTTTCTTGGGACTGAACAATTAGATCCGAGACTACGTCCCGGACAGTCGAGCGCTCCTTTGGTAAACCGAACGAAGGATGACAAGAAGGATCCTGACACTTCAAGAATTCTCTTTCAACGTGGTACATTGTCTAGGTAAAGATAACTACCTGACGAGGAATCCCACAGACGAGGCCGTGGAAGAAAATACCGAAGAGGACATCAGCCGCCTCCTACCCCCGCCAACGACGCCAGCAGACATGGACCACCATTCCTCGCCAACATGAAAGTGGCAAAATTGAAGTAAAGGCAGAGAAACAATCCACACGCAGGCATTCTGATAACCACGTCCAGGAAAGGCTATGCATTTTTGTACTTACTGATACAACTGGAGAGACATTCTCATGACACATGATCCTTTTGTAAGAAATGTAACTTATCAGGATTTCAGATGTGCATGAAATTTTGAACTTGTTTTGTTGTAGGCCGCGGTCCGTTTAGCAAAAATGGTTGGATACCTATCAGCCGGAACAGTAGAATACTTATACGACACCTCAGGTCACTATTACTTCCTGGAGCTCAATCCGCGTCTCCAAGTCGAGCATCCCTGCACGGAGATGGTCTCCGACGTAAACCTCCCCGCCGCTCAGCTACAGGTCTTGGCGCCCAAACGCGTAGTGCGATTAATCGTAAGCCCAGTTTTCAGATCGCAATGGGTCTACCCTTGCACTACATCAAGGACATTCGATTATTATACGGGGAGTCGCCATGGGGCCTGACGACTATCGACTTCGATGAACCGCTGCAGAAGCCTCAGCCTTGGGGTCACGTAATCGCCGCGCGGATAACGTCCGAAAATCCCGACGAGGGTTTCAAGCCGAGCTCGGGCACCGTTCAGGAGTTAAATTTCAGATCGTCGAAGAACGTGTGGGGTTACTTCTCGGTGGCCGCGTCGGGCGGCCTGCACGAGTTCGCCGACTCGCAGTTCGGGCACTGCTTCTCGCGGGGGGAGAATCGGGAGCAGGCGCGCGAAAATCTAGTCATCGCCCTGAAGAAGTTGTCGATTCGAGGCGATTTCCGCACGACGGTCGAGTACGATTTACCTCATTAGAAAACACTCTGGCCGGTTACTGCCTACCCGATAAGTACAACGCTCCGCGGCTGCGCGAGGTAATCGAAAAGTTCATGGCGAGTCTGCGCGATCCAGCGGCCGTCGAGAAAAAGATCCGTCGCCTAATGTCGCTCTACGAACGAAACATCACGTCGGTTCTCGCCCAATTTCCCAGTCAGCAGATCGCGAGCGTAATCGACGGTCACGCCGCGAACATGCAGAAGCGCGCGGAGAGAGACGGTTTCTTCCTCGCTACGGAGGGTATAGTGCAGCTGGTGCAACGGTACCGAAACGGCATCCGCGGGCGCATGAAGGCCGCCGTCCAGGACTTGCTCAAACAATACTACGACGTCGAAAGTCAATTCCAACAGGGCAGCTACGACAAAAGCGTCACCGCGCTCCGTGAGAAGCACAAGGACGACATGTCGATCGTCATGGCGACGATATTCTCGCACGCGCACGTCCCGAAGAAAAACATGCTGATCACAATGCTCATCGATCACCTCTGGTCGAAGGAACCCGGCCTCACCGACGAACTCGCGACGATCCTCAACGAGCTCACCTCGCTCAACAGAAGCGAACACTCGCGCGTGACTCTACGCGCTCGACAAGTACTCATCGCCGCCCACCAGCTGGCGTACGAACTACGCCACAACCAAATGGAGAGCATCTTCCTCTCGGCCACCGACATGTACGGCTACGAATTCCACCCGGAAAACCTTCAAAAACGCATCGTCTCCGAAACCTCGATTTTCGACATCCTCCACGACTTCTTCTACCACGTCAACAAGTCGGTGCGCACCAGCGGACCCCGCCCAAGACCGCTTCTTCCCACGACGGATACCTGTACCGTAAATCCAACCACGGAGATCGTCCGGTAGTACCCGCCGCCGCCAGGCCAGGAGAATGGCATGCGACTCAACTCCCGGCAGATCCCATTAGCCAATGTGAAGAACGCGAGGAACGGATCCGTACAGTTCGCCGCTACCGATCCAAGTACGCGGACCAATCAGCGTGCAGTTTCAAGCAGAGGACGAAGTAATGGAGAGATTCCGAGACCTCGAACCGGCGAATTCCAGCAAACATGGAAGCGGCCACCAACGCAGGCACAAACGCATACTTCATCCGGCGAGACAGAGAGCAGGTCCACATCCATGACCTACCTATATTTCTTGATAGCGCCAAGCTTCGAGATGGTCTTCTGAAGGCTTCTAAGTACCTAATGTGAGTAGGTATGTCAATTAAAGGTGCCATTCATTATGTGAGATTCAGGAATTTGGTATAGATTTTTGTTTTTAAATTTCCCTTTCGCAATTACTTTGTATCGTGCAGCTCTTCAAAAATTGTGAGCTTCCAAATAGAAATCCAATTTTAGTAAGTGCTTATTGCGAATCGGTGTGCCATCTTGGCCGTTGTGAAAGCCAAAGGACTATAATGAAAAACAGACGCATATTTCAAGTATGATAATAAGGCGTCCGAATTTATGCCATTCCAAATTAGAATACTTGACGCAAAAATAGTACATTGTATTTAAATGTAAGCTTAAAATCTTCTACTGGCAGGTCACTGTGAGAGTATTGTATTTAAATTATTCAATACTCCAAATAAAAAGCGCTGATTTTGACCGAAGCTGTACCAATGGCGAACTTGCAGTTTAAGACATCCTTAACCAACCCGCCCGATGGAGATGAGGTGGTGGTGTCAGGTAACTTCAAGGTTACGGGAACTTTAATATACGCTTTTACCCTTAGGTATATCGGGACGATTTCCACAGTCGGAAAATGTTAACGAATTCTTTGAAAAGTTGATGGGCGCGAAAGATCTGCTAACCCCAGTTCCAGATGAATGGAGAGCGCTTTGCCCGAATCTCCCGCCGAGAATGGGCAAGGTGAATGGTTGGCACAAGTTTGATGCGGGATATTTCGGTAAGGGATGCGCGTACTTCTAATTGAAAGAATTTGTGACAGGCATGCATTACCACCAAGTCAATGCTTTGCATCCGGTCTGTCGCGTGCTGCTGGAAGGCGCAGTTGAAGCGATTTTGGACGCCGGTCTGGATCCACGAGATCTAGTCGGAACCAAGACAGGAGTGTTCTTTGGAGTTTTCCATTATGAATTGGATCTGCCGCGGCACAACGATCTCACTCTTGGCATCGATGGGTACGTACCCCAACAGTCTCCTTTGTTTTAACACGAACTGTATAGACGCATCAGAGATAGCGTTGCTCAAGTAATCAGCCACTACCTACGTTTGGATGGTCCGACTTTGTCCATCGATTCGGCGTGTAGTAGCTCCGGACTTGCGTTGGAGCACGCTTTTAGAGCAATTCGCGAGGGTAGATGCGACAATGCGATAGTTTGCAGCGCCAATTTGATACACAGCCACCATATCACGTGGTTAACGCATCGGTAACTCAGCCCTTGCTCCTCAACTTTCGGTAAACTTCGCACATTTCAGCCTGGGGATCCTAGATCCACGTGCTGAGAATAACGTACTCAATGACAATGCTAATGGATACGTAAGGGCAGAGGCGTGCGTCGCTATGCTCTTGCAAAGGTTTCGGGAGTGCAACAGGTCCTACGCGCAGGTGGGTGGGGTAGGGTGGATGAGGTATTGAGTGTTGCCTTTCAGATATTACACGCGAAGACCAACAGCGATGGCTTTAAAGAGGAGGGCATTATGCATCCCTCTGGGAAATCGCAGGCGGAGTTAATTCGTGAGATGTACGAGGAGTGCTCGTTTAATCCGCTGGACGTGAACTACGTGGAGGTCCACTCGACAGGTAAGCCCTCCATCTTGCGCGCGGTTTAATCGATTCTAGGCACAAGGGCGGGAGTTCCCGAGGAAGCGGGTGCGATTGAGGCGGTATACTGTGCAGGTCGGCGGCTACCGTTAAAGATCGGCTCGTGTAAATCAAACATGGGGCATTCGGAACCGGTCTCCGCCTTGTGTTCACTGGTGAAGGTTCTGCTCGGAATTGGTCGCGACCAAATTCCGCCGAGTATCAACTGTGCGAATCCGAGACGTGACGTGCCAGCGTTTCGTTGCGGAACAATTGTTGCGAATGCCCAGGTTTTGAATATTGACAGAGACAGATATATAGGTAGGTATGCGTTGGGGCTGTTGATACTTGGACTGATCGAAACCGTAGGTGTCAACAATTCGGGGTTTGGTGGTACTAATGCTCACATTCTTGTCAAAAGGCTTGACGTAAAGCCACGTGAGGAGCTCAAACACCATTTCGTTTGCGTCAGCGCTAGGACACGAAGCGGTCTTGAGCAAATTCTAACTAGTCTGGTCCAGAATGCTAGTAACGAGGATTACCTCCAACTTGTCCCGCACCTCTTCAGGTCTGTTATAAATTTGATTGTACCCCTCTGGTGATACAAATCCGTGTAGACATGATGCAGACCTTTTCCTTTATCGTGGATTTGTGCATGTCTCCAATGGCGAGGTGAGATCTCAGCACCTAGGTGAAAAGCTATCATTCACCACGCGCCTGAGGTTGGCCTTACTGAGGTTAAACCATACGTATGGTGTAAATATGAACGGATTTGAAGAAATAGGGTTGTTTGACGAAATCAAACGAAGGTATGTCGTTCGGGTAGTTTAGAACAAGTCACCGAACGCGTATCTAACAGGCATGGATCCGAACCAATGGCAATGGAGGATGCCATAAGTCAGGCTCTGAGGATACTTGAACTTCCTGTGGAATACGAAGAACTATCCGAATGCTCCGGAAGAAAAACTGATGATAGTATGTGTCACTCCACGTCCCAGTCACAACAGAAAGCAACGAATGGCGTGTCAGTACTCTTCGCCGATTCCGTAATGAAAATCGACGGCGTGGACTCATTTTTCCGCACTATAGGCTGGCAAGTATCTACGTTTAATAACCCTCCATTACAATAGCACCATAGGCTCTTCACCATGGGGTTCAACCCAAAAGTTGAAAAACTCCAACCAGTAATGGATTCGCCGGTTAATGCTCCACCAATATCTCCGTTAATAAGGTGGGACCACCAAGAGGATTGGTTTGTAGCGAGCGCACGAGATAACGCCAAAAGTGGATCCGATGTAATTACCATCAACTTGGAAAACGGCGATGAGGATTGGAAATTTTTGCACGGTCACGTCATTGATGGTAATGCAAGTGAGATGGATCGCACGTAACCACGAAATTTCAGGTCGCAATTTTCTGCCGGCCTCCGCACTTTTCCATTTCGTTTGGGCGACCTTTGGAAAGATCACCAAGACAGTGATAAGTGAGACGGCTGTCTTGTTTGAGAACTGTCAGATCCATAGGTCGATAATTTTGTCGAAGGAGTCGATAATCCAACTGTCGGTGCAGATTTTCAGACTCACTAAGCGTTTCGAGGTGACCCAATCTGGTGAACTGGTGGCGAGCGGTACCGTAAAGGTCCCGAAATTCGCCCACGAGCAGGCAGTAGAAGGTCTGCCAATTTCAGGTGTTATCGGTCGACCTCTTCTACTAAATTCGGCGTACAAGCAGTTGAGTTTGTGGCATTATCAATACAGGTGACGTGTTCCGTTCAAAAGATCTATCTTACGTTTGAATTTCAGGGGCGAGTTTTGCGGTCTCGAAGAGATTGATCTAGGAGCCACTCGGGCGTTGGTGAAGTGGAACGATAACTGGATTACGTTTATTGACCATATGTTAACCACGCGGTTCTTCAAGCCGAGCTGTAAAAGTTTGACTGTACCGTCGGCGGTGGAACGACTGATAATTGACCCAATCGGACATAGTCAAAATTCCGAGCCGGTCTGGTCACCCAACGATTGCTCAATCATTAAGTAGGGGGTCCGTGGCCCCCCCACTGAGAGATTTCATAGTAGTATTATTTTGAAATGAATGCGCTCGTTATGCGCTCATATGCGCCACCGATAATAACTCTTGCGCCATTATCGTTTTTTAGAAATCCGAAAAAATATTTGGGGGGGCCAAGTGAACGTAGCCCCCCCCCCAGTACGTATTTTGTCCCTTGTAACTAGGTCACCTGATACATTTGGTTATGCGCTCAATTGCGCCACTTGAATTAAAGCTAGCGCCATTACGGTTAAGCCGTGACAAATTTTCAAAAAGTGGGGGGGCCAACTTAACGTTTTTTAAAGTTACTTTTTTTTAACATCTTTTCATACGAAATTGTACTCTCAGGTATGCGCTGAAATGCGCCGTAAAAAGATATCTTTGCGCCATTATTGTTTTTTGGTTATCCTTAAATATATTTGGGGGGGGGCCAAGTGAACGGAATCCCCCATAACGCATTTTGCTACCGGTATTTGTGCCACTTGATACATCTGGTTATGAGCTCAATTGCGCCACTTGAATTAAAGCTAGCGCCATTACGGTTAAGCCATAAAAAATTTTTAAAAAGTGGAGGGTCTAACTTAGCGTTTTCAAAAGTTATTTCTGGAAGTGCGTCCATTTTGAAAATATTTTACATCGATTCGGCCTTCGGAGTAACTCCTAAATACAAATTTTTAAAAACCTACCTATTTTACTTTCTCAGAATCGTTTAACTAAAGCTCCCAAAAAAACACCCTGTATAGTGTTTCTGAAACACTATAATGGCGCCAAGATTTTTGTTTACGGCGCATTTTAGCGCATGATGAAAGGTACGATGTAGTAGAAAAAACATGTTAAAAAACGTAACTTTTGAAAACGTTAAGTTCTTTTTAAAAATTTTTTATGGCTTAACCGTAATGGCGCTAGCTTTAATTCAAGTGGCGCAATTGAGCTCATAACCAGATGTATCAAGTGGCACAAATACCGGTAGCAAAATGCGTTATGGGGATTCCGTTCACTTGCCCCCCCCCCCTCCCCAAAAATATTTAAGGATAACCAAAAAACAATAATGGCGCAAAGATATCTTTTTACGGCGCATTTCAGCGCATACCTGAGAGTACAATTTCGTATGAAAAGATGTTAAAAAAAAGTAAGTTTTAAAAACGTTAAGTTGGCCCCCCCACTTTTTGAAAATTTGTCACGGCTTAACCGTAATGGCGCTAGCTTTAATTCAAGTGGCGCAATTGAGCGCATAACCAAATGTATCAGGTGACCTAGTTACAAGGGACAAAATACGTACTGGGGGGGGCTACGTTCACTTGGCCCCCCCAAATGTTTTTTCGGATTTCTAAAAAACGATAATGGCGCAAGAGTTATTATCGGTGGCGCATATGAGCGCATAACGAGCGCATTCATTTCAAAATATTACGACTATGAAATCTCTCAGTGGGGGAGGGGCCAAGTTAACGGACCCTTAAGTAGGTAAATGTGAAGGTGCGTCTTATTGATTCGGATTTTTTAAGGTCGAAGTGCGCGGAGGTCAGAGGTTTGGAATTTAAATCGATCCCCAGAAAGGCAACTTCGGCCACTCCCACTTTGGAATCCTACAGGTTCGTCGGGTACAACGGAAAAATGAGCGCCGCCGAAGCGCTGCGCGTGGTTGTGGAAATTGTAGTGCAGAACACACCAGGGAATTATCTACTTGTAGCTGACCTCACTAATGGGCTCGACTCGCTCTCCTCACCCATCTCCAGTTTGCTGGACGAATTCCTGGTGCATAGGACTATAGTTTCCGGTTCCATTCCAGATGACACAAACCTGGTTATCGGGTCGCGCACTTCTGGGGACGTTGAGGTATGACTGAGAACTCACAGGTGATTCTAATGCTGATGGCCAATTTTCAGGTGGTAAATGCTATTATGAGCAGATTGAAAGAGAACGCCTTCCTTTTATTAAGAGAGCACCCAGACTGTGTCTTCGACCGAGAAATAATCGCTTCCTATCGCACTCCCACTGAGACTTTGTACCTGCTCCGTAAAGTCGAAAACCTAGCGATTCCGCTAGCCGTTCACATTACCGATGACCTTAGCTGGCTGTCCCAAGTGCAATCCGCCCTGGGTGCCAATCTGAAAGTGCTCTTAGTGGCCCAAGATGATAAAACGAGCGGAATAATCGGACTGGTCAACTCCTTGAAAAAAGAGTACGACGTGCTTTCGCTTTCCTGCATGTTCCTAGTGGACGACTGTCCCAAATTTGACGTGGACCACAATTTCTACGTGAACCAAATGAGGAAATCGCTGTTTATGAACGTTTGGAAAGAAGGAAAGTGGGGCTCTTACAGACACTTCCCTTTGGAGGTGGAGGAGCTCGAAAGTGACAGTCGCGTGGTCGGAATAATCGATAAGGGTAACATTGCGAGCTTCCAATGGGCTTTAGGGCCTCCATTGCAAAACTCTACAACTCTTACTCAGGTAAAAGTTAAATAAATTCTAGAACTTGACTCACGATAAGCTTAGGTATATTACGCTGGATTAAACGTCGAGGATCTCATGATTGCCAATGGAAAAGCTGACATTAATCCGTGGGATGACAGATGCGAGGCGAACAAATTCTGCTTGGGTTTCGAGTTCTCCGGGAGAAATGCAAGGTGAGGATTGTCGTAGAAACATCGGTAACCCTTGAGGTTGCAGAGGAGGCCGAGTAATGGCAATGGTCCAAGAGGCCGCGTTGGCTAACATGGCAGAACCGTGTCAGTACTTCACCTTTAACGTACCAGACACGTGGAGCTTGGAGGAGGCAGCCACCGTTCCCAAGACGTACTGCACTGTCCTATACGGTCTCATATTGGTAAGCACCCGATGACTCAGCCTTTGTCACTAACACCAGAACAGCTCGGCAGGATTCGGCGTGGACAAACTATTTTACTGGACACCGGAGACGTCGGTCAGTGCGGCGTTAACGTCGCGACTTACTTTGGCTGTCAGATATTTACCACGGCCCACCAAATGGGTGCGTCCCTCCAACGGCTCATAATGAAAGCGACCTACGGTAAAGGTGTCGATATCGTGCTTGGTTCGCTATCCGAAGACAAACTGGCACACTTACGTTACGTTGCACCAAGAGGGATTTTTTTGAACGTTGTCAATTACGACTCCCCCAACAGCTTCGATTTAAGTCACCTGTCCAACAACCGCACTTTTGCATCAATCAACCTGCGTGCGATTTTTGAGGCCGACCAAAAGACAAAGAAGCAGCTTAATCACTTGGTGAATCAAGGGATTCGTATTGGATACGTCAAACCAATTCCAAGAAGAGTGTTTGAGGCGGACAGTGTAACAGATGCTCTCAACTGCATCGGGACTACTGGTAAAGTCATTGTCAAGGTTAGAGACGAAGAACCGTTCACAGTCGAATCTCCACGAAAGATGGCGCTGTTGGCAAAGCCTAGGTAAGGTCACTAGTTAATAAGCGTATGCCATTTTTGGACTCTAAAAAACTACTCTTCGTTCTTTTCGGTCTAGATTTTACTGCGACAGCACGAAGGTATACATTCTAGTGGGAGGATTGGGAGGTTTCGGTCTTCAACTGGCCGAATGGCTGGTCCAGCGCGGTGCCCGGAATTTGGTTTTAGTCTCGAGACGTCGGGATGTTACCGACTACCAAAGCTACAAGCTCGAGTAAGTGACGAGTTCGCGTGTTCGATTTTTTGGAACCATGTCTCTTAGGATTTGGAAGGAACGAGGTGCCAGGGTCATCGTGTCCAGGCACAATCCCGTAACCTTGACGGGTTGCGAGACGTTAATAGGCGAATCGCGCAAGTTGGGCCAAATCGATGGCATTTTTAATTTGGCGGCCGTTCTTCACGATGGACTATTCGAGTCGCAAACCAAGGAGACCTTTACCAAGACCTTTGCGCCCAAAGCAACCGTGACCGCAAATTTGGATGTGGTCAGTCGACGCTTGTGTTCAAATCTAAAACACTTTGTCGTTTTCTCATCAATAGTTTCTTGGAAAGGCAACGTTGCACAAACGAACTACGCCATGGCGAACGTAGTCATGGAAAGAATTTGCGAGGTCCGCAAAGAGGAGGGACTTCCGGCGCTCGCAATACGATGGGGCCTAATCGGTGACGTATGTATAATAAGTTCCTGGCAGTCCCATTCATTGTGTGCCGTTCAGGTAGGAATGTTAGAAGATAACGAAAACCTCAAACAAATGGAGGTGATAGCAGACACCGTTAGGCAAGAAATTGAATCGTGCCTACAAGTCATGGATATTCTCCTAATGCAAAACACTCACGCTGTTGTGTCAAGTAGCGTGCTTGTCGACCCCAGCGCCAACAATAACGAGAAGGAGCTGGGTCTACTAGACGGTTTAGGAAAAATTATTGGTGTCAACTTAAATCATGTCAGTCCAAATGCAAATTTAACCCAGTTGGGAATGGATTCCATTGCTGTCGTTGAAATTAAGCAATTCTTAATGGACAAATATAAAATCTCTAAAAGTCTACGAGAGATGAGGAGTATGACCCTTAATCAGTAAGATAAACTGTCAATTGTGGTAGCCTCAACTAATTTTTTTTAATTCGACAGGATAAGGGAGGAAGAAATGAAATTAAAAGCCCGATAAGGTCCAATTCCTCTTTAATGTAATGTATCTAATTACAATATTCTATTTAGTTGTCAATTTACTCAGCGCCACAAGCCCCCAAACCTTGATCATTGAGTTGCACTTCAAATCCAAAATGTAAATGTTGAAAACGGATCCTTTCACCTCGTAACTTCTAGCTCGATTGTCGATCATTTTGAAACTTGAACCGCGACATCCAACCGATCGTATATACAATTTAAAAAAATTAAAGTCACTTATAGTGATGAGCGGAATCGGTGTTTTCTTCAGGTTATCCTTGAAAAAAGAGTGTTCCCTCCACGAAAAATTGGGAACTGGATCGCTCCCAGACTTGACTTCGACCGCGTTTAATCTGGCGTCAAATCCTCGAAAACATAAATCGAGTTGTTTATGCACAGAAATAAAGAGCCAAATGCACTGTACACACTGACTTTTTCGCTTACTTGTTGAGTTTCCCTTACTGCCGCGCTATTAAAATTTTGCGATCGTAAAACACGCTCGTACCCTACTTCGCCTGAGCTAGAACTCCCCTGTTTTTTCCCTGTCGTATTTACGCACGCCTGCAGAAACCAACGAAACGGCCACGGCCGGTCTCCATTGTATCCCAATAACCTACCAGTCTTTGATGTAAGCTCGGTCGCCTTAACGAAATTACGTCACACGTTCTAAATGCTCGTTTTGTCGTTACACTCAAATTGTGCCCACTTTTCTTCTTCCGTGCTGCGAGTGTTCATAGGCATCATAAACTGTGGTTTTTTTTTCGAAATTGGTTTCTAGTCTATAACTTTTGATTGAGAAGTCTGATCGAAAAAGTACGAATTGATTTGGATTCTACGCACCAAATTAATAAGAAAAAGTGTTTTCCCGAGAAATTTTGGTGTAGTCGATTTTTGGTAAAAAAGGAAGGTTATACACTGCCTTTTTTTGAGCCCCGAAAAAAAAATTGTCTCAGATCGACCCGGAAAAAAATTTTCTTATAGAATGTGGCCTGTAGAATCCATAATTTCAAACAGTTCCAAGATTGGGCTACTAGTTCAAAAGTTACAGCCCTTTGAATTTTTTTTCGAAATTGGTTTCTAGTCTATAACTTTTGATTGAGAAGTCTGATCGAAAAAGTACGAATTGATTTGGATTCTACGCACCCAAATTAATAAGAAAAAGTGTTTTCCCGAGAAATTTTGGTGTAGTCGATTTTTGGTAAAAAAGGAAGGTTATACACTGCCTTTTTTTGAGCCCCGAAAAAAAATTGTCTCAGATCGACCCGGAAAAAAATTTTCTTATAGAATGTGGCCTGTAGAATCCATAATTTCAAACAGTTCCAAGATTGGGCTACTAGTTCAAAAGTTACAGCCCTTTGAATTTTCTTTCGAAATTGGTTTCTAGTCTATAACTTTTGATTGAGAAGTCTGATCGAAAAAGTACGAATTGTTTTGGATTCTACGCACCAAAATTAATAAGAAAAAGTGTTTTCCCGAGAAATTTTGGTGCAGTCGATTTTTGGTAAAAAAGGAAGGTTGTACACTGCCTTTTTTTGAGCCCCGAAAAAAAATTGTCTCAGATCGACCCGGAAAAAGAATTTTCTTATAGAATGTGGCCTGTAGAATCCATAATTTCAAACAGTTCCAAGATTGGGCTACTAGTTCAAAAGTTACAGCCCTTTGAATTTTTTTTCGAAATTGGGTTCTAGTCTATAACTTTTGATTGAGAAGTCTGATCGAAAAAGTACGAATTGATTTGGATTCTACGCACCCAAATTAATAAGAAAAAGTGTTTTCCCGAGAAATTTTTGTGTAGTCGATTTTTGGTAAAAAAGGAAGGTTTATACACTGCCTTTTTTTGGCCGCGAAAAAAAAATTGTCTCAGATCGACCCGGAAAAAAAATTTTCTTATAGAATGTGGCCTGTAGAATCCATAATTTCAAACAGTTCCAAGATTGGCTACTAGTTCAAAAGTTACAGCCCTTTAAATTTTCTTTCGAAATTGGTTTCTAGTCTATAACTTTTGATTGAGAAGTCTGATCGAAAAAGTACGAATTGATTTGGATTCTACCCACCCAAATTAATAAGAAAAAGTGTTTTCCCGAGAAATTTTGGTGTAGTCGATTTTTGGTAAAAAAGGAAGGTTATACACTGCCTTTTTTTGAGCGCTGAAAAAAAAATTGTCTCAGATCGACCCGGAAAAAAATTTTCTTATAGAATGTGGTCTGTAGAATCCATAATTTCAAACAGTTCCAAGATTGGGCTACTAGTTCAAAAGTTACAGCCCTTTGAATTTTCTTTCGAAATTGGTTTCTATTCTATAACTTTTGATTGAGAAGTCTGATCGAAAAAGTACGAATTGTTTTGGATTCTACGCACCAAAATTAATAAGAAAAAGTGTTTTCCCGAGAAATTNCCTGTAGAATCCATATTTTCAAACACTTCTAAGATTGGGGTACTAGTTCAAAAGTTACAGCCCTTTGAATTTTTTTTCGAAATTGGTTTCTAGTCTATAACTTTTGATTGAGAAGTCTGATCGAAAAAGTACGAATTGTTTTGGATTCTACGCACCAAAATTAATAAGAAAAAGTGTTTTCCCGAGAAATTTTGGTGCAGTCGATTTTTGGTAAAAAAGGAAGGTTATACACTGCCTTTTTTTGAGCCCGAAAAAAAAATTGTCTCAGATCGACCCGGAAAAAAATTTTCTTATAGAATGTGGCCTGTAGAATCCATAATTTCAAACAGTTCCAAGATTGGGCTACTAGTTCAAAAGTTACAGCCCTTTGAATTTTTTTTCGAAATTGGTTTCTAGTCTATAACTTTTGATTGAGAAGTCTGATCGAAAAAGTACGAATTGATTTGGATTCTACGCACCCAAATTAATAAGAAAAAGTGTTTTCCCGAGAAATTTTGGTGTAGTCGATTTTTGGTAAAAAAAGGAAGGTTATACACTGCCTTTTTTTGAGCGCCGAAAAAAAAATTCTCAGATCGACCCGGAAAAAAATTTTCTTATAGAATGTGGTCTATAGAATCCACAGCCCTTTGAATTTTTTTTCAAAATTGGTTTCTAGTCTATAACTTTTGATTGAGAAGAACCCAAATTAATAAGAAAAAGTGTTTTCCCTAGAAATTTTGGTGTAGTCGATTTTTGGTAAAAAAGGAAGGTTATACACTGCCTTTTTTTGAGCCCCGAAAAAAAAATTGTCTCAGTTCGACTCGGAAAAAAATTTTCTTATAGAATGTGGCCTGTAGAACCATAATTTCAAACAGTTCCAAGATTGGGCTAGTTCAAAAGTTACAGCCTTTTGAATTTTCTTTCGAAAAGTCTATAACATTGCTAATCCTTTGATTCTATTTTTTTCGAAATTGGTTTCTAGTCTATAACTTTTGATTGAGAGGTCTAATCGAAAAAGTACGAATTGATTTGGATTCTACGCACCCAAATTAATAAGAGAAAGTGTTTTCCCGAGAAATTTTGATGTAGTCCATTTTTGGTAAAAAAGGAAGGTTATACACCCCTACCCCACCCTCCTCCGCGTAGAACCTGTTGCAGTCCCGAAACCTTTGCAAGAGCATAGCGACGCACGCCTCTGCCCTTACGTATCCATTAGCATTGTCATTGAGTACGTTATTCTCAGCACGTGGATCTAGGATCCCCAGGCCCGTTTACCGAAATGAGAGGAGCAAAGGCCTAGTTACCACGTGATATGGTGGCTGTGTATCAAATTGGCGCTGTAAACTATCGCATTGTCGCATCTACCCTCGCGAATTGCTCTAAAAGCGTGCTCCAACGCAAGTTCGGAGCCACTACACGCCGAATCGATGGGCAAAGTCGGACCATCCAAACGTAGGTAGTGGGTCTGGGGGGTATGGAATACCCCCCAGCAAAGGGAAGACATAACGCATGGGGACGGTTTACCACTACCAAACACCGAAAGACTCCACAACAGTTTCTCTATATGCCTCAGTAACCTTATGGTGGTTTTTTGTACATGGCAATAAAACAATTGTCACCTGGGGGATATTCCATACCCCCCAGACCCCCCGGTAACACTATCATGAAAGTTTTTGAAAAAGAATTATCAGATTCTCAGTACTACAAAGATCCTAGCACCGGGGGGTCTGGGGGGTATGGAATACCCCCCAGCAAAGGGAAGACTTAACGCGTGGGGAGGGTTTACAACTACCAAACACCGAAAGACTCCACAACCGTTTTTCTTTATGCCTCAGTAACCTTATGGTGTTTTTTTGTACATGGCAATAAAACTATTGTCACCTGGGGGGTATTCTATACCCCCCAGACCCCCCGGTAACACTATCATGAAAGTTTTTCAGATAGAATTATCAGATTCTCAGTATTGCAAAGATCCTAGACTGGGGGGTATGGAATACTCCCCAGCAAAGGGAAGACTTAACGCGGGGGGAGGGTTTACAACTACCAAACACCGAAAGACTCCACAACCGTTTTTCTATATGCCCCAGTAACTTCATGGTGATTTTTTGCAGATGGCAATTAAACTATTGTCGCCTGGGGGGTGTTAACACCCCCCTGACCCCCCGGTAATACTCTCATGAAAATTTGTGAGAAAGAATGATTAGATTCTCTTCATCTAAAGAGTTCTAAGACTGTTTTGAAGAGTGTTTTAGGAGCTTCGGCGATGCGAATGGCCTCGGCATGCTCCCGTAGAGGTTGGTTGCCGTCTGCTTGAATGGATTGTACCCCAAAGGGGCATTTCTCCACGGATACCCGTAGCCTGTGGTGCTGCAAACGCTCCAGCACTATGTGAAGGTGGTGGAGATATTTTTCAGTCTTCGGTTACACAATGGTGTCCTCCAGATGGACCATGGCGAATTTGTGTAGACATTCCGGGAAGACTTGTGACTTGTGCTTTTGGGAAGTTTCCCGGTGGGTTCTTCAGATCAAAGAGCATCATTCTGAATTGGTAGGAGTCTCCTCACCCGGTGTCATATAGGCGGACAAAGGGCATCCAGTGTCCCGATTTTAGGTCCAGGGTTGAGAAGATCTTTGCGTACCCCAGGTCCCGTAAAATCTCGTGGATGCCATACGCTAACAACGTGGTATTTCAAGTTGAGCTGCACAAATCTGATTGAAATCGAACGCCTGATAAATTGATCGTCTCGGACGTAGTCGGAATTCCGAGCCAGTCTGGTCCAGAGATGAATGCACGATCATTAAGTAGGTCGTGCGTCCTATTGATTCGGATGATTTAAGGTCGAGTTGCGTGGACGAAAAAATTGAGCGCTGCTGATACTTGTATCCGAAGCGACTAATGGGTTCGACTCACTTCCGGATCCATCTCAAGCTTGTTGGACCAATTTCTAGTACCTGGGACTATAGTTTCCGATTCAATTCCAAATGGTACAAACCTGACCACCGCGTCACTCACTTCTAGGGACAATGAGGTAAGACTGAAAATTCACAGGTGATGTAGTGCTGGGTAATTTTCAGGTGGTAAATGGTATTATAAGCAGATTGGAGGAGAACGAAGGTCTCTTTGAACGTCGAAATCAATTTCAATCAACTTGGGTACGATATTTGAGGCCGATCAAAAGACAAAGGAGCTGGTGAGTGAAGGGGTTCGTATTGTATACGTCAAACCAACTCCATCTACACTCTTTTATTTTGAACTGTACATTGTATAATAGAAAATCTCTAGAACTTATATACAAATAACTTAATCAATCGGGATACTGTTATGTAACCTCCCAAACGGTGGCGTTACCCGATCGCTTCCCTTTCGCCTCGATGTTCACGTGAGCGTCCAGTCCGTCGGAGATCTTGCTCAACCTCCTCGCCCAAGAACCTCGAAGTACTGACAACAAAAGCTACTAACAACGTTACGGATCAGAAGACAGTACCTACCGATGGTCTTCTCCATTCTCGACGCGTTGTTGTTGTCCCTGATCGTGTTGATCACGTCGTCGTAGTCGTAATCTCTCTTCAGACCGTGCTCGTACTTGGCCTCCTTCGCCAGCAGGCACTCTCGCTGAATTTGGGTTTTGAGCTCGGATGAAACGTCGGGGATCATGTACTGCATGATTCCGGTGAGGGCGAAGACGATGTGCTAAATTTGCTTCCGTGAGTAAGCGACGGCGATCTGGCGGACTTACCTCGAAGATGACGACGAAAGCTAGACGTGCGGCGGAGACGTGGTAGTACTGCAAGCTAAATCCGTAAGGGTTGGTCTCGTTCGGTGCGTTTCGGTAGCCGCGATACTGGCAGAGTGCTGGGGGATGCTCGAGGCCTTCAAGGTCGGCGCCCATGTCTTCGACGTAGTGGCTCGTGTTGAAAACCGAAAGCGAGGCGTCGATGTACCCGACCAGGTCCTCGTTGGGGGAGTATCTGTACTTGTACACCATTCTTGGTATGAACTCGCTGGTGAAGGCGATGACGAATGCCTGCAAGGTGGAGGATTGGGACGTTTGGGTTCGTTCGGTGGCGGCTTACGTTTGAGACGACGGCGAGATAGGTGATGGCCCGCAGGATGCCGTACCAGGCGCCGATGTCCTCGGCGCGTTCGGCTAGCGGCCGGCGCGCTTGCGTCACCATTTTGTAGGCGTCCAGGCGGATTTCGGCGATGTTGTTCAGAAGCGCACAGATCGGTGCCAGTGGAAAGGCGGCCACGAAGAGGGTGACGAAGCCGTATTGGAGTACTGAAAGATTTTACTTGGTACTATGTCAGCCAGTCAAAGACTTACTCATCTCCAGGTACTCGTCGAACAAGGCTAAACGGCCTGGGTCCTGCAGGTGATAGTCCTGTTCCCATCGTGTGTGCTGCCTCGAGAGATCTTTAGTGTTTGATTGGTGCATTCTTCGGCGCCACCAATTGTAGAATTTTCTGTGGATTGAAATATTAGACTTCGTTGTTTCTGTTCTTCTGTTCTAATGGCTCATAATGACACAAGTGCTTCTGCTACAAATTGTACCAGGAGAAAATTTCTATATCAGGATCACAGAAAGGTTGTGTGCCACTGTAACTCCTGATACGAGCGCCTTTTAAAAACGGTTGTACTAAGGCCACATAAACGCAACTCCTCCCATTCTCCTGATTCAAATTGATTTTCACAAATTGCTGTACATATATCACAGATTGGAGCAGGATCGCAGAAACACACCCTCTTGTTCCCCTGATACAAGTCTCTTTGTTTAACTATTCTAACAAGGTCACACAAAACGCAAGTTTTTCTTGTTCTCATGGATCATGGAGAATATTTTTTCTATTAGGAGAATTTTATATATCAGGATCACAGACACGTTGAGAGTTCTCCTTATACTAAAGCCTTGTAAAAATTGTTGTACCAAGATCACATAAACTCAAACCCTTCCTGTTTTCATGGGCACATTGATACAGTTTTTTTTTGTATCAGGAGATATGCTGTTATGTGACCTTCGTACGACAATTTTAAAAAGGCATTCGCGCCAGGAGAACACCGTGCCCCTCAACGTGTCTGTGATCCTGATATAGAAAATTCTCCCGATGTTAAAAACATTGTATCAGTATGACCCCTGAAAACAAGAAAAGCTTGCGTTTATGCGCTCTTGTTATAAATATTTTTAAAAGGCTTTTGTATCAGGAGAACAGAAGTTTGTGTTCTCCTGATACAAAAAATTGTATCAGTGTGACCCATGAAAACAAGATAAACTAACGTTTATGTGACCTTGATACAACAATTTTTAAAAAGCATTCGTATCAGGAGGACAGAAGCTTATGATACTGTCCCTCAACGTTTTTCTGATCCTGATATAGATAATTATCCAAATATAAAAATTTGTGACAGTATGACTCATGAAAACAAGACAACCTTGCGCTTATGTGGCCTTGGTACAACACTTTTTAAAAAGGATTCGTGTCAGGAGGACAGAAGCTTGTATTACTGTGTCTCTCAACTTTTCTGTGATCCTGATATAGATAATTCTCCTAATACAAAAAAACTATATCAGTGAGACCCATGAAATCAAGATAATCCTGCGTTTATGTGACCTTGGTACAATACTTTTTAAAAAGCATTCGTATTAGGAGAACAGAAGCTTACCTTACTGTCCCTCAATGTTTCTCTGATCTTGATATAGATGATTCTCCTGATACAAAAATGTGTGCCAGTATGAGCCATGAAAACAACACAACCTTGCGTTTATGTGGCCTTGGTACAATCATTTTTAAAAATTATTCGCGTCAGGAGAACAGAAGCTTGTGTTACTGTGTCCCTCAAAGTGTCTGCGATCATTACATAGAAATTTTCTCCTGATACAAAAATAATTGTGTCAATGTGACCCCTAAAAAACGGGAGCTTGCGTTTATGTGACCTTGGCGCAACCATTTTTAGCAAACATTGGTGTCAGGAGAACAGAAGCTTCTGATAGGAGATACAAAAAAAATTTTATCGGTACGATGTATGAGAACAAGAAAACCTGACCTTGTTAGAACAGTTTTAAAAACAGACTTGTATCAGGAGAACAAAAGCGTGTGTTTCTTCACTATTTGTGATACTAATATGTTCAGCAATTTGCAAAAATCGATTTGAATCAGAAAACCGGGAGAAGCTTGCGTTTATGTGAGCTTAGTACCACCGTTTTTAAAAGCCGCTCATATCAGGAGGACAGAAGCTTGTGTTACAGTGGCCCACGACGTTTCTGTGATCCTGATATAGAAATTTTCTCCTGATACGATTTCTAGAAGAAACATTTGTACCATTATGAGCCGTAAGAGCAGGAGAACAGAAGACTTTTGCGATCCTAATACAATTGTTGGAAAAGAAATTTGTGACAGGAGCCTAGTTTTGTGAGATAGTGCCTCTTACAACTTTTATTTTATTACGGTTCTGTAATCATGATACAATTCACAAGACGTTTTTAGAAGAAACCCGAAAGTGAGTGTTTCTCTAATTCTTAATTTTCAAAACAGTAAGAGAATTTACTAAATATCTGTGATACTAATACAGCAATTTGTGAAAATCAATTTTAATGAGAAGAAGCTTCCGTTTATGTGACCTTGATGCATCAATTTTGAAAACGTATTACCAGGAGCACATAGGCTCGTGTTACTGTGACCCTCAACGTTTCTGTGATCCTGATACAAATAAAATTGTATCAATATGACCGATAAGAACAAGAAAAGCTGGCATTTATGTGACCTTAGTACAACAATTTTTAAAAGGTGTTCGTATCAGGAGAACAGAAGCTTATATTACTGTCCCTCAATGTTTCTCTGGTCCTGATATAGATGATTCTCCTGATACAAAAATTTGTGCCAGTATGACCCATGAAAACAAGAAAAACTTGCGTTTACGTGACCTTTGTACAACCATTTTTAAAAGACTCGTATCAGGAGAACAGAAGCTTGTGTTACTGTGACCCTCAACGTTTCTGTAATCTTGATATAGAAAATTCTCCTGATACAACAAAGATTGTATCAATATGACTCATCCAAACAAGACAAAGTTTCCGTTTTTGTGACCTTTGTACAACCATCTTTAAGGGGCATTCGTATCAGGAGAACAAAAGCTTGTGTTATTATGACCCTCAACGTTTCTTTGATCCTGATGTAGAGAATTCTCCTGATACAAAAAAGATTGTATCAATATTATCCATGAAGACAAGAAGATCTTGCGGTTATGCGATCTCGGTACAACAATTATTAAAAAAGTACATTTGTATCAGGAGAAGAGAAACTTCTGTTACTGTGACATGTTTCTGTGATCCTGATAAAGAACATTCTCCTGAAATTCTGTCAATGTGACCCGTGAGAACAACAAACGCTTACGTTTATGTAACCTTGGTATAACAATTTTTACAAGGCATTCGTATAAGGAGAAAAGAAGCATGTGTTACTGTGACCCTCAAGGTTGCTGTGATTCTGATATAGAAATTTTCTCATGATACGATTTGTAGCAGAAACACTTGTACCATTATGAGCCATAAGAACAGAGGAGAACAGAAGCTTGACTTTCTGAGATCCTGACACAATTGTTGGAAAAGAAATTTGTAACAGGAGCCTAGTTTGTGAGATGGTTTATTTTATTACGGTTCTGTAATCATGGTACAATTCACAAAAGAAGTTTTTAGAGGAAACACGAAAGTGTGTACTTCTGAATTCTGAATTTTCAAAACAGGAAGAGGAGAACTTACTAAATATCTGTGATAATAAAACAGCAATTTGTGAAAATTAATGAGGCGAACCTTGTATTTATGTGACTTTGTTGCATTAATTTTGAAAAGGTATTTGTATCAGGTTAACAGAGACTTGTGTTACTGTGATCCTCAACGTTTCTGTGATCCTGATACAAACAAAATTGTATCAATAGGACCGATGGGAACAAGAAAAGCTGGCATTTATGTGACCTTAGTATAAAAATTTTAATAGGTGTTCGTATCAGGAGAACAGAAGCTTATATTACTCTCCCTCAATGTTTCTCTGGTCCTGATATAGATGATTCTCCTGATACAAAAATTTTTGCCAGTATGACCCATGAAAACAAGAAAAACTTGCGTTTACGTGACCTTTGTACAACCATTTTTAAAAGACTTTCGTATCAGGAGAACAGAAGCTTGTGTTACTGTGACCCTCAACGTTTCTATAATCCTGATATAGAAAATTCTCCTGATACAAAAAAGATTGTATCAATATGACTCATCCAAACAAGACAAAGTTGCCGTTTTTGTGACCTTTGTACAACCATTTTGAAAAGGCATTCGTATGAGGAGAATCGAAGCTTGTGTTACTGTAATACCCTCAACGTTTCTATGATCCTGATATACAAAATTACCGTGATACAAAAAAATTGTATCAATATGACACATGAAAACAAGAAGAGCTTGGGTTTATGTGGCCTTGGTACAACAATACAGAAGCTTGTGTTGTTATGGCCCTCAACGTTTCTTTGATCCTGATGTAGAGAATTCTCCTGATACAAAAACGATTGTATCAATATTATCCATGAAGACAAGAAGAGCTAGCGGTTATGCGATCTCGGTACAACAATTTTTAAAGTGCATCAGGAGAAGAGAAACTTCTGTTACTGTGACCCTCGATGTTTCTGTGATCCTGATAAAGAACATTCTCCGGAAATTCTGTCAATGTGACCCGTGAGAACAACAAAAGCTTACGTTTATGTAACCTTGGTACAACAATTTTTACAAGGTATTCGTATAAGGAGAACAGAAGCGTGTATTAGTGTGACCCTCAATGTGTCTGTGATCCTGATATATAAAATTGTCATAATACAAAAAAAATTCTACATGATCCATGAGAACAAGAAAAACTTGCGTTTTGTGTGACCTTGTTACAATAGTTAAAAAAAGAGATTGGTATCAGGAGAACAAGAGCGTGTTTCTGCGATCCTGGTACACTCTATGATATATGTTTGTGAAAATCAGTTTGAATCAGGAAAATGGGAGGAGCTTGCGTTTATGTGACCTTAGTACAACCATTTTTAAAAGGCGTTCGTACCAGGAGTTACTACAGTGGCACACGTTTCTGTAATCCTGATATAGAAATTTTCTCCTGATACAATTTGTAGCATAAACACTTGTATCATTGTGGGCCATAAGAACAGAAGAACAGAAGCATGACGTTCTGCGATCCTGACACAATTGTTGGAAAAGAAATTTGTGACAGGAGCCTAGTTTATGAGATGGTGGAATGTGTTGGAGGCCGACAAGGCTGTCTAGATCGAACCCCTTGAAATGCTCTTTGAAGTGCGTGAAAATCCTGAAGATTCTGCTCGCGCAGCGTCGAGGAGATACTTACGGATTGAGCAACTCCATGAAGTTATTGAAAATTTGTTTCCCGATCATAATAATCGCGAGCTGGATGCACAATTCGCTTAGGCACCCCGCCGGATCACAGACGTCATTTTTCACTCGAAGAAATATGGAGCGCCTGCTCGTTCGATCCCCGGGATAATCGAAGAATCTACCCTGAAAAACGAAGACCCCGATTACTCGCCCCGCCATTTTTCACGCTCGCTTACCTTGAAGAACGCAATGTAGATTAACGACGAGTAAAAATTCAAAAATTCGAATAAGAAAATCTTAAAAATGTACGAATCCTCAAACTCGGTCTGGGTGCGCGGATTTTCCAAGTTCGTCAGGTAAATGGCTAGCCTGTGATAAAACTGAGAGGGAATCGTCGGGCTGATGGCGGTTTTCCTGGTGGCTTACCTTCGTCAGTATCATAATGATGATCAAATTGATGAGGGCGGCCGTGATCGAGGTGAAAATTTTGGCGTGCTTCTTCAGCAGGGGACCTCCGCTGCTGTAAATGACGGTCACAAGGGTCAGTCTGTAAATGATTGTTCCTAAAACCGCAATCATGACGGTTGCCATCTGAAATAGGCGAACTAGCTCAGTGTTCTTAAGGGGGCACGTTACCATGAAGAAGACGGCGGACCCGGTGATCAGGTATCGTACGGATTTGGACCACGCGGGCAGGTAGGGCTCCTTCTCGCGAGTCACCGGGTTGGTCCTGAAGGTCTTTACGCTGGTTTCGAATTCTGAGCGAGGTTCCTCGTCTTGTTCCGTCCCTTGGAGGTCCCACTCCCACTGTATCATGCTCTGTTTCCTTCGCCAAAGCTCCAGGAAGAGGGTGGCTACAAGTGTTTTGAAGACTCCTCGTACCAGGTTTGGTGGACTCACCCCAAATGCTCATGAAGATCGCGAAGAAAACCGTCGCCGGATTGTCGAACAGGTAGGTCATCCTGGCGAACTTGCAGCTGTCGGCCAGCTTCTGGTACCTGCAGGCTTTGTCGCACAGGGGGCAGAGCGTGATGTTACCGGCTCCGTTTGGGTCGCAAATCTCCTTGCTGAAATTCGACTTTAAGCAAATGGTGGGGGAGTGAAGTAAAACACCTGGGGATGTTGTCCTCTCCGTTCATGGTGCAAACCCCATACAGAAAGCACAAGGTGCCCACAACAGCCGGGGCGTACAGCATCTTCGTGTAGAAGCCCAGCCAGCAGAAGTAGAGCGCGATCTTGTCTCCGAAGTACTTTCTCGTTAGCGACAGAGGTTGCTTCTTGTGCCAACATCCTGGACGAGCCCAGTGAACGTAGAGCAACTAGAAAACGGGCTAAAGGAAATCGTCTCCACGTGCCGTAATCTCTTACGCGTCGATCAGTGGGAACTCCATCGCCCTCGTCCTTCTCCCAGGCACCCTCGTGCAGCGGGAAGCACGAGCTGTAAGTACCATCGTTCAGCAACCTCCTGATCCCCACCTTGTCTGTGTCATCGAAGCGAACTCTCAGCAGAATTTGCATCACGATCAGGCTCCTCTGCGCGCACGAATAATTGGTCTCGCGATCCTTCACGATGAACCTACAAACCTTCGGGTGAAAGCCGAACGCGTCCCCACCATATACTCACTGCTCCTCAGGATCTGCTCCTTTCGTCGCCGAATAGAACGAGGGCGTCTCCTCGATCTTCGCGTAGTCGTACTCGTAAAACTGCCTCCAACGCCGCTTCCACCTGGATATGAACGTCTCGGGCTCGTCCTCTTTCTTCTCGCCGTCCTACACAAAACGTCAGCGAGCTCTCGCCGCCCAAAACCCCCCGCCACTTACCCAGGCCCTCACCGAGATCGTAATGAAACGCTTGATCGGCAGCTTGAGACCCATCACCTCGGCGTACCGATTCTGCGTCCGCCACGGCAAGTGTATCTTGATAAACCACGTCTTGCCGTCGTAGGAGAAGTCCTTGTGCTCGAGCTCGAGCTCTAGGCCGTCGCGGATTAGGTTATCCTGGAAATTGGGGATCGTTAGGGGAGGTGGTGGTGGCGGAAGCGCCGGCGTACCTGGAATGTTTTGCGCTGGTCGCGTCTGGTCGCTTCGGCCTCGGTCATTACGCCTAGGTCCTCCTCTTCGTAGACGAGCACCATGTCGATGCGTCGCTTTCCGTCTCGGAAGAAGAGGCTGTTCGGGTCCAGATCCTAAAACACGACAAACCTCTGTTGGAGACCAGTCCCAAAAAAGGTCTTAAGTCTTTTAGGGTGTTTAAAGTCCTGGCCCTTTAAAGTTCCTTAAAAGCCTTCGATGTCTTCAACAAGATCCTTCAGTTGGTCTTCAGATACGGATTTGAGGGATTTTTGAGAATAAAGCCTTTAAGAACCTTCGGAAGCCTTGAAATATCATTTTAAAGGTCTTTAAAGGCTTTTAAATTGTGTTCAAAGGCTCCCAAAGGTCCGCAGGTTAATCGGTAATCAAGTGTTCAGGTCTTCCAGGTCGCTTCAGGTTCTCGTATTCTTCAGCTCCTTTAAGGCTTTCGGATTTTTAACTCTTCAAGTCTTTGAAAGGTCTTCACGTAGAGCTTTCAAAGACTTTAAAGGGTGTTAGAAAGCATTTGAGAATCTTAAATAGTTTTAGGAATTTGGCATAGCCTTAAGAGCCTTGAAGTGGTATGGAGTTCTTAGGTTAAATTTTGAAGCCCTCAAAGGTCTTCGAAAGTGCCTTTAAAATCTATAGAGCGGTCTTAAACAGCTATCGAGCTTCAATGAGCTTTAAAACCCTTAAATTTCAAGCGTATTCAAAAATCTTCAATGGTCTTCAAATTTACAGGTTTTAAAACCTTTACGGTTTTTTGTAGTTCTGGCCCATTGGAGTTCTTAAAAGGTCTTTAATGTCTCCAAGAATTTTTGAGTATTCCTTCAAGTGGTCTTCAGGTTTGTAGGGATTTTGTCTGAAGTCTCCAAAAGTTGTCTTAAAGGCCTTTAAAGGCTTTCAAAATCTTTCAATGATCTTCAGGCGTTCAGGTTACCCTGTAATCAGGTCCTGTTTAAGTGTTCAGGTTTTCAAGGCTGCAAAGGTCCAGGTTCTCATATCTTCAGGTTATACGGATCTTGGTCCTCTCCAAACATATCGTAATTCAAGGTTCTTCAAGGCCCTTCTAGAAGTCTCAAAGGCCTTAAAAAACCTTATGAAGGAATTAAAAATAGTTTTAAAGATCTTCTACTTCTAAAAATCCGAGCTTTGAATCTTCAGGTATTTTATCCATCAAACCTTGGAGTCCCAGAGCACTGCCCCTTCTCCAATTCCTTATGTCTTTAAGTCCGCAGGTCTAGAGACCATTAATCTTAAAGGGTCTCCTTGAGAGGATCCTTGAGACCTTCCAAATTTTAGGGTTGTTGTGTTTTTACGCCGTCCAGGCTTTAAGTCTTCAGATCTTACGAGTTTTCAAGCCTTCAAATTTTTTAAGCTCTTTTAGGCCTTTTATTCAGTCTTTTAGTTTGTATCCTTCAAACCATTGTTCCCCTGGAGTTCCTGTTCTCAAGTCAACAGGTCCTTATCTATTCAAACCTTTAAGAGCCTTCAAAAATATTTAAGAACCTTAACGTATTTCTACAAGGTTTTTTTGATAATTGAGTCAAAATTCACTCAGGACGTTTCACAAATATTCAGTGGTCTTCAGAATGTACAGGTTTTGAAACGTTTATGGGTTTCAAGTTTATTAAAGTCCAGACCCTTTAAAGTTAATGAGGGGTCCCTTTGAAAAATCTTGAATGGCCTTCTGATTCACAGGCTTTTAAGGTTCTTTAAATTAAAGGCTTTTAAGAGTGTGGAAAACCTTCAGTAAAATTCCAAGGTCAGTGGCCTTCAAATTTACAAGTCTCAAAATTTTTGGGGTTACCAAAGTCCTGAACTTTAAAGTTCTAAAAAGGCCTTCAATATGTCTTCAAAGTGTTTGATCATTTTTAAGATCCTTCAAATTAAAGGTTCTGAGGAATTTCGGAGTATACAGTCTTCAAGAGCCTCCAGAAGACTTGTTTAAAGGTCTTTAAAGGCTTTTAAGTGTGTTCAAAAGCTTTCAAAGGTCTTGAGGTCTTCAGGTTGACCTCAAAGGTCTTCAAGATGCTCGAATAAAATTCAAAAATCAGTGACCTTCAAATTTACAGGTCTTAAAATGTTTAAAGTTTTAAAAGTCATGATCCTTTAAAATTCTAAAAAGGTCCTCAATGTCTAACGTTTTTGAATATTTCTAAGATCTTTCAAATGGTCTTTAAATTTAAAGGTTTTTAAGAAGGTTGTGACCCTGGTTGTGACAATAAAGTGATCAAGATTCTTCAGAGGTCTTGTTTTAAAGGTCTTTAAAGGGTTTTAGTGTGTTAAATAACTTTCAAGGGTCTTCAGTCTTCAAGATCGAAAACCTTTAAGGCTTTCAGGTTTTCAGCTCTTTAAACCTCAACCTTAAATCTTTGGGAGCTTAAAGGTTTTAAAGGGTCTTTGAGGCCGTTCGTGTAGAGCTTTTAAACGCTGTAAAGGGTTTAATTTAAGAGTCTTTACGGATATTAGATAGTTTTAGGAGTTTCGTATAGCCTTAAGAGCTTTGAAGTGTTATGAAGTTTTTAGGTTAAACGTTGACGCTTCAAAGGTCTTCGAAAATGTCTTTAAAATGTATGGAGGTCTTAAATAGCTATCAAGCTTCAATTGCCTTCAAAACGCTTGACTTTCAAGCGTCTGCAAGAACCTTAATTCCGAAGTCAGTGGCCTTCAAATTCACAAGTCTGAAAATGTTTTGGGTTTCCAAAGCCTTGACCCTTTAAATTTCTAAAAAGGCCTTCAATATTTCTTCAAAGTTTTTGAGCATTTCTAAGATCCTTCATATTAAAGGTACTGAGAAATTTCGTGAGTACTTCAAGAGCCTTCAGAAGATTTGTTTTAAAGGTCTTTAAAGGCTTTTAAGTATCTTCAAAAGCTTTCAATGGTCTTGAGGTCTTTAGGTTAACCTCAAAAGTCTTCAAGATGCTTCAATAAATTTACAGGTCAACATTTTTAAAGTTTTAAAAGTCCTGACCTTTTAAAGTTCGAAAAATGTTCAATGATGATTCAATAAAATTCAAAAATCAGTGGCCTTCAAATTTACAGGTCTTAAAATTTTGAGGGTTTCTAAAGTCCTGGCCCTTTAAAGTACTAAAAAGGCCTTCAATATGTCGTCAAAGTTTTTGAGCATTTCTAAAAAGAATATGTCGTCAAAGTTTTTGAGCATTTCTAAGATCCTTCAAATTAAAGGTTCTGAGGGATTTCGTGAGTATACAATCTTCAAGAGCCTTCAAAAGACTTGTTTTAAAGGTCTTTAAAGGCTTTTAAGTGTGTTCAAAAGCTTTCAAAGGTTTTGAGGTGTTCAGATTAACCTCAAAGGTCTTCAGCATGTGACCTTCAAATTTACAGGTCTTAACATTTTTAAAGTTTTAAAAGTCCAGGTCCTTTAAAGTTCTAAAAAGGTCCTCAATGTCATCAACGTTTTTGAGTATTTCTAAGATCTTTCAAATGGTCTTCAAATTTAAAGGTTTTGATGAGGTTTGTGGCAATAAAGTGTTCAAGATTCTTCAGAGGCCTTGATTGAAAGGTCTTTAAAGGTTTTAAGTGTGTTAAAAAACCTTTCAAGGGTCTTCAGATGTTCAGGTTAATCGGTAATCAAGTCCTGTTGAAGTGTTCAGGTCTTCAAGGCTCTATTTTTCAGATCCTTTAAGGCTTTCAGGTTTTCAGCTCTTTAAATCTCGATCTTAAATCTTTGGGAGCTTACAAGTTTTAAAGGGTCTTTGAGGCCGTTCGTATAGAGCTTTTAAAGGCTTTAAAGGGTTTAATTTAAGAGTCTTGCGGATGTTAGATAGTTTTAGGAGTTTCGTATAGCCTGAAGAGCTTTGAAGTGGTATGAAGTTCTTAGGTTAAACTTTGACGGTTTAAAGGTCTTCGAAAATGTTTTTTAAATCTATAAAGAGGTCTTAAACAGCTATCAAGCTTCAATTGCCTTCAAAACACTTGACTTTCAAGCGTCCGCAAGAATCTTCAGTAAAATTCCAAAATCAGGGACCTTCAAATTTACACGTCTTACAATTTTTTGGGTTTCCAGAGTCCTGACCCTTTAAAGTTCTAAAAAGGCCGTCAATATGTCTCCAAGTTTTTGAGTATTTCTAAGATCCTTCAAATCAAAGGTTCTGAGGAATTTCGTGAGTATACAGTCTTAAAGAGCCTTCAGAAGACTTGTTTTAAAGGTCTTTAAAGGCTTTTAAGTGTATTCAAAAGCTTTCAAAGGTCTTGAGGTCTTTTGGTTAACCTCAAAGGTCTCCAAGATGCTTCAATAAATTTACAGGTCAACATTTTTAAAGTTTTAAAAGTCCTGACCTTTTAAAATTCGAAAAAGGTTCTCTATGTCTTCAACCGTTTTGAGTGTTTCGAAGATCCTTCAAATGGTCTTCAAATTTAAAGGTTTTTTAGAAGTTTGTGACAATAAAGTGATCAAGATTCTTCAGAGGCCTTGTTTTAAAGGTCTTTAAAGGTATTAAAACACTTTCAAGGGTCTCAGAGTCTTCAAGGTCGAAAAACTTCGGGTTCTCTATTTTTCAGATCCTTTAAGGCTTTCAGGTTTTCAGCTCTTTAAATCTCAATCTTAATTCTTTGGGAGCTTACAAGTTTTAAGGGGTCTTTGAGGCCGTTCGTGTAGAGCTTTTAAAGGCTGTAAACGCTTTAATTTAAGAGTCTTGCGGATGTTAGATAGTTTTAGGAGTTTCGTATAGCCTTAAGAACGTTGAAGTGGTATGAAGTTCTTAGGTTAAACGTTGACGCTTCGAAAATGTCTTTAAAATCTGTAGAGAGGTCTTAAACAGCTATCAAGCTTCAATTGCTTTCAAAACACTTGACTTTCAAGCGTCTGCAAGAACCTTTAGTAAAATTCCAAAGTCAGTGACCTTTAAATTTACAGGTCTTAAAATTTGTTGGGTTTCCAGAGTCCTGGCCCTTTAAAGTTCTAAAAAGACCTTCAATATGTCTTCAAAGTTGTTGAGGATTTCTAAGATCCTTCAAATTAAAGGTTCTGAGGAATTTCGTGAGTATACAGTCTGCAAAAGCCTTCAGAAGACCTGTTTTAAAGGTCTTTAAAGGTTTTTAAGTGTGTTTAAAAGCTTTCAAAGGTCTTGAGATCTTCAGGTTAACCTCAAAGGTCTTCAAGATGCTTCAATAAAATTCAAAAGTAAGTGGCCTTCAAATTTACAGGTCTTAAAATTTTATTGGGCTTTCAAAGATCTGACCCTTTAAAGTTCTAAAAAGCCTTCGCTGTGTCTTCAAAGTGTTTGAGCATCTCTAAAATCCTTCAAATTAAAGGTTCTGAGGGATTTTGTGAGTATACAATCTTCAAGAGCCTTCAAAAGACTTGTTTTAAAGGTCTTTAAAGGCTTTTTAGTGTGTTCAATAGATTTCAAAGGTCTTGAGGTCTTCAGGTTAACTTTAAAGGTCTTCAAGATTTTTCATAAAGTTCAATAATCAGTGACCTTCAAATTTTAAGGTCTTAAAATGTTTAAAGTTTTAAAAGTCCAGGCCCTTTAAAGTTCTGAAAAGGTCCTCAATGTTTTTGACGTTTTTGAGTATTTCTAAGATCTGTCAAATGGTCTCAAATTTAAAGATTTTGATGAAGTTTGTGAAAATAAAGTGTTCAAGATTCTTTAGAGGCCTTATTTTAAAGGTCTTTCAAGAGTCTTCTGAGGTTCAGGTTAATCGGTAATCAAGTTCTGTTCAAGTGTTCAGGTCTTAAAGGTCGCAAAACTTCAGGTTCACTATTTTTCAATATGTCTTTGAGAATTTCTAAGATCCTTCAAATAGTCTTCAGATTTAAAGGTTCTGAGGAATTTCGTGAGTATACAGTCGCCAAAAGCCTTCAGATGCCTTGTTTTAAAGGTCTTTAAAGGCTTTTAAGTGTGTTCGAAAGCTTTCAAAGGTTTTGAGGTCTTCAGGTTAACCTCAAAGGTCTTCAAGATGCTTCAATAAAATTCAAAAATCAGTGACCTTTAACTTTACAGGTCTTAAAAGTTTTAAAAGTCCTGACCGTTTAAAGTTCTAAAAAGGTCCTCAATGTCATCAACGTTTTTGAGTATTTCTAAGATCTTACAAATGGTCTTCAAATTTAAAGGTTTTGATGAAGTTTGTGACAATAAAGTGATCAAGATTCTTCAGAGGCTTCAGGTTAATCGGTAATCAAGTCCTGTTCAAATATCTTCAAGGTCGCAAAACTTCAGGTTCTCTATTTTTCAGATCCTTAAAGGCTTTCAGTTTTTCAGCTCTTTAAATCTCAGGTTTTAAAGGGTCTTGAGGCCGTTCGTGTAGAGCTTTTAAAGGCTGTAAAGGCTGTCAAAGGTCTTCGAAAATTTCTTTTAAATCTATAGAGAGGTTTTCAACAACTATCAAGCTACAGCGGCCTTTAAAACACTTAACTTTCAAGCGTCCTTTAATGGTTTTCAAACTTACAGGTTTTAAAACTTTTACGGTTTTTTTTTTAGTTCTGACCTTTTAAAGTACTTAAAAGGTCTGCAATGTATTCCTAAGATCCTTCAAATGGTCTTTTGTAAGTATAAGGTCTTCAAAAGCCTTTAGAAAGGAGTTTTCAAGATTCTTTATCAAACTTGAAAAGGTTTAGGGCTAGGTTTAAGGTTTCCAAGTTAAACTTCCAGGGTCTCCAAACGAGCCTTCAAGCCTCTAGTTTCAACATGCTTTAAAACAGTTCACTTTCAAACGTCTTCAAGACTCTTTAATTGGATTCAAGAATTCTTCAGTGGTCTTCAAATTTACAGGTTTCAAAACCTTTAGAAATACCTCAAAATTCTGGAAGACATTGAGGGCCCTTTAAAGTTTTTAACGGGTCTTCAATTTCTTCAAGATCTGTTAAGTATTTCTAAGGCCCTTCAACTAGTCTTTAAAGTTCCAGGTTGTGAGGGATTTTTCGGCAACAGTTAAAAGTTATTTTAAAGGTTTCGAAAAGACATTGAAGACTTTTGAAAAACTTAAAAACCTCAAAGGTTTTTAAGTCCTGTAAATTTGAAGGCCACTGAAGATTTTGGAATACTATTGAAGGATCGCTTGAAAGTCAAGTGTTCTAAAGGCAATTGAAGCTGGAAGCCAGGTTAAGACCTCTCTAAAGATGTTTAATGCTCTTTTCAACTCTTAAAGCCTTGAAAGTTTAATCCAAGAACTCCATACCACTTTAAAGCTCCTCAGGCAATGCAAAACTTCTAAAACTATTTAAAATCCACAACATTTTTAAACGCTTTCTAAAGCTTTTTGAGGCCTTTGAAAGCTTTCACTAGATCATCAGATTTTGAAGAATCTGGAGAAAATCCTTAGGTAACCTAGAAAGAACATTGAAAACTCAAGGCTTTGTTGTTCCTCTCAGATACTCCAGAAATCTTTTGAAATCGCTTACAGTTTGCTTGCAAGCATTTAAAGGCTGTTGAAAACCTTTGAAGACTAAGGATTTGAGAAATACGTAAAGGCTTCTTAAACAACCTTAAAGACCCTTAAAGGTTTAAAAAATTAATGGTGTCTAGAACTGCAGCCTTAAATACGTAAGGAATTGGAGAGGGGGAATGGTCTGGGCCTTATTGCAGGGCCTTAGAAACGCTCGAAAGTACTTGAAGACCCTTTAAGAAGATGAAGAAGATTTTTGATTCCTATTGAAAAGTTTTGAAGACGGTTGGAAGATTTCAAAGAGGTTTAAAACCCTTCAGAAGTATCTTTGATCTTTGAATCCCTTGATTGTCTAGCCTTTGAGCACTTGAAACTCTCGAATCTTTGAGTCTTTAAACGTTTGGGTGCTCGAGCATTCCAGCCTTTCAGCATTCAGGTTTGCAATCTGAAGATAGTTAGGTTTTTTAGGTTTTTAAACCTTTAGGGAATCAAAGGGCTTTAAGGGTATTTTTACAAAAGCCTTGAAAGGTATTCAAATAACTGAATTCTTCATTTTAAGGTTTTAGGTTGCGAGTCTTTAGCAGTCTCCAAGAGAGGCTATAATACCATGGATCTTAAGCTACGCAATAACAAAACAATCATATTCAATAGTCTTTGATAGCACTTAAGTGTTTTCAAAATGTTTCGTCAACAGAATACAGTAACCTATGCTAGGGTTCACACCCTTTCCAATTGTTTTTAAGAACGTGTTCTTCATTTGTAATTCTTCAAAACCTATCAGACCGTTAAGTACCTTCAAGAACTTTAAAGCATCTTCAAGGGTCACCGTCTCAGGCTTTTCAAGGCTCAGGTCTGATTATTTGAGCCTTGTTCAATCTTCTTAACCGTCTTTGATCTTCAAGCCCCTATGTCTTTCAGTCTGCAGGTCTAGCTACCGTTAAGCCTGAAGCCATTCTGAGCCTTTAGTAATTGTGGTCTTCTTCAGATCTTCACGTACTTAATCACAAGATCTTTAAAGACTTTCTTCTTTGATGGCTTACCTCATCCATACTGACAGGTGTCAGTGGAGGAAGGTCGGTCGTGTAGAACCCAAAATCCGGACTGTCCTGCACCAACGAAGGTAGCGGCGTTCCCGGTAGGGCGGGAAGCGTCTCGTTGCTCATCTGCGGCCCGAACGCGTCGCGATACAGCGACGGCTGGCCCGAGCACTTCCTCCCGAGCTTCTTGTCACCATTCGTCTGCAACAGATCGGGTCATTCCCCCATCACCAAAAGAGGCGCGAGTTACCTTGTCGCCTTGCAGCGATCCCCTCCGTAGCTGCGTGAACAACCGCGGACTTTCCTCGATGCCATTCAGTCCGCTATCGTAATCGCTCTGCCTGTGGCCCCTGTTGATGTTGACCAAAGACCGTGACTTCTCGAGGATGCCGGACGATACCGACGAGCAGAGCGAGGCGATCGGGACCGTTTCGTCGGTGCCGTACGGTCCATTGAAACTGCCGGTGCTCTCGTTGCTCGGTCTTCGCGATGAAGCTGCGAAACGAAACCTAATTGAGATCTCAACCGACGAGGCGACGAAACACATTATCTCCTCGATCGTTAAAAAAGTAAAACGAAGTTCGATGCGAATAAGCCACGTGTAATAAATAATTAGTTAAATGGAAGAGAATTGGATCGACTCCCTCGTTCCAATTGAATATAACGATGGGATCTCGCACGTGATGGCCTACTTGTTGTAACCTTTAAATGCGACATATTATTTTAGTCCCGTTTTCTTCCATTATTTTAATTAGTCTCGTTCAACGAAATGATAGCTTCCGGCGGCCAGGAATTTGTGTCTCATAAAAAATGTATTGATACGTGGGTTAAATCACGTCCGGAATTATCGTTTGTAATTATAGAGTACATTATGCACAAGCCGTCCCCACGTAGGGGTTGAATTATTTATTAGGGTTCGATTGGACTCCGTCTGTTGCATATAGAATGAGACCGATGCAAGTCATTTTGAAGATTCTAAACAGCTCTAAACAGTGTTCCTCGGGAAGTCACCCCCCCCCCCCCCTTCCCGAACCGGCATCTGATGAATTCGAACAATATGGAGAACCCATGGAGGATAACTTTTGTTGTGTGTGCTTTAGAAAAAATTGTAAATCAAAGTATAGATACAATTTTTGAGATTGCGGCTATTAGGCTAAATTTGCAAAAAAAATTGGGGGGTAGGTTTGTATGTGACGCAAGGGGTTGCAAGAAATTATTTTTGCATCTGTTTATTGGATATGTATAGCAGTATTTTTCTGCACAAACTAGAAAGTGATAACTACCCCCGTTTTGCCGTATTCGATTTATAAACACATTGGGGGTGGATTTCTATGTGACGCAAGGGGTTGCAAGAAATTATTTTTGCATCTGTTTATTGGATATGTATAGCAGTATTTTTCTGCACAAACTAGAAAGTGATAACTACCCCCGTTTTGCCGTATTCGATTTATAAACACATTGGGGGTGGATTTCTATGTGACGCAAGGGGTTGCAAGAAATTATTTTTGCATCTGTTTATTGGATATGTATAGCAGTATTTTTCTGCACAAACTAGAAAGTGATAACTACCCGCGTTTTGCCGTATTCGATTTATAAACACATTGGGGGTGGATTTCTATGTGACGCAAGGGGTTGCAAGAAATTATTTTTGCATCTGTTTATTGGATATGTATAGCAGTATTTTTCTGCACAAACTAGAAGGTGATAACTACCGCGTTTTGCCGTATTCGATTTATAAACACATTGGGGGTGGATTTCTATGTGACGCAAGGGGTTGCAAGAAATTATTTTTGCATCTGTTTATTGGATATGTATAGCAGTATTTTTCTGCACAAACTAGAAGGCGATAACTACTCGCGTTTTGCCGTATGCGATTTATAAACATTTTGGGGGTGGATTTCTATGTGGCGCAAGGGGTTGCAAGCAAGTACTTTTGCATCTGTTCATTGGATATGTATAGCAGTATTTTTCTGCACAAACTAGAAGATGATAACTACCCGCGTTTTGCCGTATTCGATTTATAAACACGTTGGGGTTGGATTTCTATGTGACGCAAAGGGTTGCAAGAAACTATTTTTGCATTTGTTTATTGCATATGTACAGCAGTATTTTTCTGCACAAACTAGAAGATGATAACTACCCGCGTTTTGCCGTATTCGATTTACAAACACTTTGAGGGTGGATTTCTATGTGACGCAAGGGGTTGCAAGAAATTATTTTTGCATTTGTTTATTGCATATGTATAGCAGTATTTTTCTGCACAAACTAGAAGGTGATAACTACCCGAGTTTTGCCGTATTCGATTTATAAACACATTGGGGGTGGATTTCTATGTGACGTAAGGGGTTGCAACAAATTATTTTTGCATTTGTTTATTGCATGTGTATAGCAGTATTTTTTTTGCACAAACTAGAAGGCGATAACTACCCGCGTTTTGCCGTATTCGATTTATAAACACTTTGGGGGTGGATTTCTATGTGACGCAAGGGGTTGCAAGAAATTATTTTTCCATCTGTTTATTGGATATATAGTAGTATTTTTCTGCACAAACTAGAAAGTGATAACTACCCGCGTTTTGCCTTATTCGATCTATAAACACATTGGGGGTGGATTTCTATGTGACGCAAGGGGTTGCAAAAATTATTTTTGCATTTGTTTATTGGATATGTATAGCAGTATTTTTCTGTACAAACTAGAAAGTGATAACTACCCGCGTTTTACCGTATTCGATTTATAAACACATTGGGGGTGGATTTCTATGTGACGCAAGGGGTTACAAGAAATTATTTTTGCATTTGTTTATTGGATATTTATAGCAGTATTTTTCTGCACAAACTAGAAAG